GTCCACTGATGCGTTTGTACAGTTACACCTGACGGGATTACGTATCAGAGATAACGCTCGCGTTTCTTGCTATACGTTGGCTCTATCAAAATGCTTCAAGCAGGGAACGCTCAATTTTGACACTAGTATATTGTGCGCAGCTCTGAGCAACTCACAATTCGTTTATCTAAATTAAGTATTCTCCCTTCGTGATATAGTTTGCCTGAAGAATGCTTGTACAGAAAATAGCCTTCTACTCAATATTGCATCGCACCTGCAACAAAAAAAGACCGTCAGTTCTGGCAATTTTGGTAAGATTTTTAGAGCAAAATTTAAAAGACTCAAAGTCGCCGCGAGTGAAGCAGGAGCGCCTGAATGATGGATCTTCCTGCTTATGGAACAAAATCGAGCAAAGCATTTACGCTACGAACTTCGTGAAGTTTTAAGCCGGAATATTCGACCAGAGTTTTATGAGTTTACTGAACGCTCAGCGAGCAAAATTATTTCTGTACGACTTTAGTGCCATATGAAAAAAGAATTTAACTGAAAATAGAATATAGAAAATTAATTATCAATGTTAAACTGAAAACGAAAATTCTCAATATTTCGACGTATTTGAAGCTACGATGATAACCGGCGAAGGTTTTCATTTTGAAATCGTCTATTAAGTAAAAGGTGAATAAGTGATACCACAAATTGAATGCCTATCAGAATTGCATGCAACGTTTACTAATTGCAGACAATTTCTTTAGAAATTATACACAAGCCACCATCAGTGATGCTCCTATAAACATAACGATTCATTTTACCTAGTATTGTTTGCCACAATCTATCAGAAAATTTGGGAAACTTTTGGTTAATTATCAAACCAAAAAAAGTGCCCTGCAGCAATCCTGCGACCATGGTAAACTTATTGTAAATTATCTAACCGAAGTAGGTTCCCTGCAGCATTCCTGCGACCAGGTCACCACTGGCAGTTCATGGATCCTCTTCGACCGTATCTCTGATACGCACTTTCTTGAGGTGCAACAGAACGCTATATGTTTGCTGCCAGAAATGAGAGTTATGTATAAGATATCCTGACACGCGTAAGACTAAGACGCATCGCTCGGCCATAAATGCGTCATCAGGTGGCCCTCAACATTGCATGCATGATTTTCCCCGAGAATAAGCCTCCTCAGGCCCCTCACTCTTGCTTTTGAAGCCTCAAAGCTTTCAAAGCCGAGCGTTGCCTCATACCTCAAATGCCTGGGAATAATGCAAAAATTGGCCTGCCTTTACAGCCGATCTCGGGGAATTTTGAAATTTTGGCTGATATTTTTCATGGCTTGCACCTGCGCCAGCAATGGTCAGTGAAACCTCGTACCCATGGAGGTCACTGGGTAGGCCGTTGAGTACACACTTTTTAATTTTGGATGATGTACGACATTCCGTATGAAGGAATAGAATTATGGAAGAAATTGGGGTGAATTTTCATTGTTTCATTGTTAATGTGATGTTCAATAGAAAGACTTTGAATAAAATTATAATAGTTTAAGTTAAGGTTTGTTGTCGAAATTTCACACTCCAAAAATTTAATTAACTTCAGTTCTGGAGTCTGAAATTTAACAATTTTGTGATATATCGAACCATTTGAATAATTTTCTGCTGACTGTTCTATATTGCTGGACTATTGTCATCGTTTGATTTCAGAGACCGAGTAGAGCATACGGCCTGCACAAGGCATTGTTTTGCCGACATATTAGACGAAGACGGCGATATGATTTGCAAGGATTGCTAAACTAGCGTGGAAGATCTATACACCAGCTGTGAAGGATCGATACACCAGCTGTGATGGATCGATACACCAGCTGTGGAGGATCTATACACCAGCTTTTAAGGATCGATACACCAGCTGTTAAGGATCGATACCCCGGCTGTGAAGGATCTATACACCAGCTGTGAAAGATCGATACACCAGCTGTGAAGGATCTATACACCAGCTGTGAAGGATCGATACCCCGGCTGTGAAGAATCTATACACCAGCTGTGAAGGATCTATACACCAGCTGTGAAGGATCGATACCCCGGCTGTGAAGGATCTATACACCAGCTGTGAAGGATATATACACCAGCTGTGAAGGACCTGCCATTTTTTTAAAGTAGCGGAAAATTTTGTCTGCCCAGGAAGTAGCGCAAGAAAATCCGTTCCCTCTCTGTTCCCTGGGCTCTCTTGTCTCCGTGAGGGAAGTTCATGGGATTACTGAAGCCGTATCAGCAACTCACAGGTNACTCCTCTGTGTAAATAATTTGTATCGATGATTCACCTGAGTATTGTGAATTATTTAGCGTCGATATCGAGGTATGTAGTCAGGGGTTTTGACTTGTTTCATTTTCATGAACAGATCATCTACAATTATATGGTTATAGTTGAACGGTGATTTGTAAATTAGATAGATCCTAGAGCTAGCTTACAGTATCCAATAGAGCATCCATGCTACAGTAAATTTTAATATTGCCTACATCGGCATTTCAGTTTGTTCTGAAATTCATGGCAGTCATTCCACTGGTCTGCATCCTGAAATTCCGAGTCGCAATTTACTGCTACATTTCAACAAATTAATTGTCTGTGAAATTCATTACCTGCAAGCACCCATTCACAGCAGCTGTGCTAGCTTGCAGCAATGAAGCTCTTGAGGGAATTGGAGAGACGGTAAGCAAAAAACTATGCCGAGTGTTCCCATGCCGAAATGGCGATGAGCATTTAGGTTAGTTCTTAGGTTACTTCGTGCTGCGCGTTACTTTTGACTCGTCCTTCGATCAATTGAGCGAAAATATCTGTAGTCAATTAGGAGTGTACAGTGAATGAACTGCGCTCTAACGAATTAGTGGGTTGAGACCAAAAATTATGCTTTTTTGCCCCTATCGCCTGTCCTGGCCTAGTTTGGCATGGAAAATGGTCGGAAAAAGGGTATCGTTTTTTGTACAAGCCATCTCATTAATCTGAGTATAGCTTAGTTTAATTAGGTTATGCATTTTATTGTGAGCGATGGCCCTTCCCGTGGCATGAATCCACCCATGTCTGTATGGGCACGACTATATTTTTTCTGTTATAGACTGTACTGTTGCAGCCCTTAGTACACCTAAGTTTTATGTCTTTGGAGACTTATATCCTGTTAACTGAACTACAAAATTATTTCCATTTTTCAGAATGTTTTTTCCATTTTGCCTGAGGCAGCAACCAGAGGGCCATTATTTTTTTTAGTGATTAAATACTTGTTATTAATGCTGCAATTGTCTGTCGCAACTGAGCGATGACAAATTTTCTTTATTTTGGGTTAAATAAAATTGCAGCGTCCAAGACTTATCCTAGATTATTGAAACCTTTTCCCTTCTAGAGAATGTATGGTAATGGCAAAGAAGGACCATTAACGTTTGTAATATGTACGACGGACGCCTTATCTACTTGGAGAAAAATTGTATGTTGACACTGGGTTTTTTTGCACCTACGACTCAACAATGGTGTTCGGTGGATGACTTGTCGCATTTATAGCCTCGACGTATTATTTTTTCAGTGTCAGCTTCTGCTGAGCAAACACAAAATGAGCTTTTTAATCAAACATACTTGTTCACTACTACGTGACCTTTTGGTTGGCATTTCCAAAAACGAGAGTTGCTCCCACTGTTGTTTACCTGTCGTGGTTATAAGGGATTGGTATGTTGTTACAAGTGATTGGTATGTTGTTACAAGTGATTGGTATGTTGTTACAAGTGATTGGTACGTTGTTACAAGTGACTTGCACGTTGTTACAAGTGATCGGCACTTTGTCACAATTGATACAAGGTACACGTGTGTTAACAAGAAAATGGCAACCATTTTGAAACTCATCAGTGGAATGTCGGTGTCTGTTTTGCTGCACTGCCGTCGCAGACTTGCCCTGAGCCAGATTTCCCACGCAGGTTCAGTAGCTTTCTATCGCGAATTTTTGTCATTCGACGCCCAATCAGTCTCAGTCATTTGATCTGTCAATAGATTTCCTGACTGATGCAGTAAACACGTGGAATGAGCGTGATGACTACAGTGCTGCACTGAAGTCTGTTCTTGCATTGATTGTGGTTAATGACTGTACAGAATCTAGCAGTCATATTAAATATGGACTGCAATCATATCCTTATAAAAAAAATGGGCAGCGCCTGCTTATCTGCCAGAACCTATAGTTTCAAAAAAAGTTAAGAGATCGTAAGTTCATCAGCCAATCATTGACGGCCTTTGAAGCAAAATCCACCAATCACAGGCAAGAAGATAGAGCGTAAGTACTTACGTTCACTCAGCGAGTTTTGAAAGTATGGCCCCCAGGTCAGCATTGAGCGTAATCGGAAACTTCTTATGATGAATTCATTAGAGGACCAAATCATCCAGGGACAAGTACACAGAAAATGACATTACATTGATGTGATGATAGACCTTCAGGGTCATGGCTGGTGCATGCATGCGTGCGGGGAGGGGTTGTTACAGTTAATTGTGCTATCATGCCCAACAATCAAATGCTTTTATGAGGCGTTTTCAATCATTCGGTTGCATACGACTAAAAACCATGAATCCTGTTGCTAAACAAAACGCTGATTTTTTTTTTATTTCGTGGTACTCAAATGTACTGTGGGAGACGAATTCCTCACTTTCCATAGCTATTAAAAAAATTAATCGCTTCTGTCCAAAGCTTCCTAAAATAAAAGGTGTGCATTATTAAACCGGAAATATGTAGACCATCTTAACCTCCATGAATGTACGTTGAAAGTCGGGGATGGAACACGCGATCACGCTAGCTACTACTTTCATCTTGATGTGCTCGCCGTTTTGAAGGGTTTTCAAGAGAGAAAATTCTGCTATCATTTTAAACTAGGATATACTTCTCTCTGGTAGCGTGGCTTCTATTGCTGGAAGAGAAAATCTGTGCTGCACCCGATCCTAACACAACTCCAGCGAAGGAGCCACGTAATCACGGGTCTACATGTGACACAATAAATATTACCGGGAAATTTACCGGTCATTTCTCCCCAGCACTGCGAGCTGCTGTGTCGTGGTAGCCTCGACGGCCTTCTGTTGTAATTGTGTCAGAGTCATGCTTGGTATTGCGCTCAGTCATGCAAAAAAAATTATTTAAATACTCTAAGAACGATGTGCACGTTGATACGCATGCACACTGGCACAAAACGCTGTTAATTGTGATTAACAATTAACATGGATCAAGGTTTCATTCAAAAATACAATCAATTCTATTTAACATAAGGAATAATCCCAAAACTAGACATCAGCTGTATAGAAAAGAAATTAACGGGAATCAAAAGGTCATTGGCACTAGGCTGGGTTGTGATCAACAGACATTATCCTTCGCTCAACTCCTACACGCACTGGTTAACCATATATACTAATTTGGACCCCACACACATGCCAAGCAGATCCCCCCCCCAAAAAAACCGTCACGTATCTCATCCTGCAGTGCCTGGTGCTGTCAGCCCACAGTCAGCACCACATGAACAAGAGCGAAAAGTGCATTGAAATTTGGACATTGATCCGCTCATTTCTGAGGTACACGTCCACCTAACAACTGTCGTCTGATCCGACGCTGGTGTAAAGCTTGACTTGCCCCTGGAAACAAATCAACAGACCATAAAACTATAGTACCCTTGTCAGCAAACAAATACATTCAACACATGGTAAATCACTCGCCACCCTCGGAAAACAAATTGGCCGCATTGCAACCGACATCAGCCGCCCCATTGATCAGAGAACGCACATCATCCCCCCCCCTCCTCCAGCAACCGGCTGGGTCCACCAACAGCAGCCTACACCTACACATCATCGCCACCAGCAACTACCCACACCCCCACATCATTTAACACTAGAGCAGCATCTGTATCGCCCACATGCATCACCCCACCAGCAGGAACCTTCATCAGACACATCGTCATGGAAAATACAGCGATGTTTTGAAGCTAAAATGTCCGAGCAACATCTTGTCGAGGGAAAACTTCCGCTAGGAGCGCCGAATTCTTTCTTAAAAGCGCTGCCTCATTTTTCAGCGACTGCTTCCAAGTTTTCTGGCGACTTTGACAAACGATTCCTTGTCTGGTGTGATGAGAGTTGTAGAACTCGAGCAGTTAAAGCCTTTAAAACGTGTCGCAAATTTGAATAACAGCATTTTGCTTCTAGGAGGTGCAGGGCAATTACAACCTCCCCGGGATGCATATCTTGTTTTCGCAGTCACATAAATGAATGATGTTCAAATAGTGTCACACTTTTTGCGAGGAGCACTGATACGCTTTGGTTAAATTTGGTCGAGCAAATTCACAGAAGGGCAAAATGTGCCTCGCTCTTGGGACAATGACTCGTCTATTTTTTAAAGTGCACCATATTGAACAGTTGAGCCCAACAACGCCGACCGTGCCAAGTCCGTCGACTCCTCACCCTCGAGTTGGGACGATCCACGTGGAGGCGAGCAAATCTGACCAGACATGTGACATCGAAGCAACGAGTAATTAATCGTTTATTGATTTGATCGACGTTAATTCAACGTTGTTTCCATGTGATTTGCCTGGTGGGAACTGCAGATCTTGTCGTCAGGGCGGTCGAGGGAAAGATTGTTAAGAGATTGTCGTGACGAATCCTAATTTCTCCTTGACATTAATTGAATAATCTGCAGTTTTGAAGTGGCTTAATTTACTGCCATTGTACTTGGAGCGGACTAAAATTATGTAAATTTAGTAATGACTTTCATCGGATTTTATTATATAAATAAAAAATCACAGCCTTTTACTCCATTTTAATTTCACACTGTTTTATTCAAATCATTGATTATGTGATAATTTGAAAAAAGCGTCAGTTTGACTTTTTGTCCTCGTAAGAATTTTTGTCGATATTTTCCTTCCTCGAACGGGCATCCTCGTGTATTGTTTTCCAAAAAGTACCCTTTTAAAGAGTTACGAATTACAGAAATTCAAAAAAGTGCCCAGCAGAAAATTATTCTCATATAGGCGCCTTGGACTGGGAATGTCAGTTTTGGGTAAGCTCATAGATGAAATACTGTGAGCTACTGATAAATTTCATACGCAACTCAGGGTTCATAGTCACTAATTTATCAACAATTTCCATTGTCTCTAAATCATCAACGTAAGAACGGAAGATTAGCGGAGTTAGGGAGCCGTTGCCGAATCGCCTGAATGTGCTGTTCAAGCCATTGTAGAGGCCTTGGTTGAAACGTTATTTTATTGTCAGGTATTAGGCTTTCGGTATATAAATGTGGCTTCAATTTAGAATTAATCAGTATTGAAATTGTAAGAATGTTTTTGATAGTATTGGAACTCTGGTCAGAGATTGCGGATAGGAAAATAAGCAGTAATAACGTGGACTTGAATATGAAGACAGCGTCACCTGTCATATGAAATGTAACTCATTGAACTGAAGCTGTTAATTGCCCGTTTCAAGTCTAGAATGTGAACATGTATACTACGTGTCGCATTTACAGCAGAAAGTCTGGAATAATTTATGTGATTGATGTGCAATAAAGTATTTTAATATGACTGTTGGTTTCACCTGGTAACAGAACCTGCCACTATACCCACGCGACACCATGCCCTAGACTCGTCATTTAAATACAGGGCTATTCTAAATGATGAACCCAATGTAATAAATTCGTATATATCCAGGTGTAAATTCAATATGAATAATTTTTACGCAAATGAAAAGAAGATTAATTTATTTTATCCTATTCAAGCGCGGAATTAGGCCGCGGCGGCGGCGGTAGTTGCAGAAACGGTGGCTATGGTTCTCGCGCCAGCCGGCCGCCTTTGTGTTTCACTGTCACTTACGAGTGAGATGGCTACTGTGCAGCTCAGGGTTTTCTGCATTGACGAGTTTGCTAAAAGTAAGTCGCAAGTTACAGTGCAGCGGACAAATTGTCCCAAATTCGGTATTGAGCCAACGACTAGAAAAAGCATTAGCCGTTGGTTTACGCTTTGGTTAAAAGTTTTGTTCGCAGTCCTCCTACGTCAACCAAAAGAGTTAGTAGATAACGTGGTATACTCCAACCAACTGCATGGCAAGTTATGCGAAAACGTTTGCTGTACAAGCCCTATTGATTTCAACTTGTGCAGTCTTTAAAACCTAATGACAAAATGAAGCGTCTTGAATTTTGTGATGATATGCTACACATTATGAAGGATGGCGGATTTCTTCAACGTATCGCTTGTAGCGATGAAGCTACGTTCCACCTCAATGGGGAAAGTTAACCGACACAATGTACGCATATGGGGTCTACATAATATATTTTGACTCGCCAAAGAGAAACAGAAAGAGAATCGCCGCAGGTAAACGTGGTCTGTGCCTAATCTCGAACGAGGGCTATAATAAACCATTTTTTGCGGAAAGAACTGTGACTGGAATTAGTTAGCTGGGCATGTTGGAACAATGGCTCTTCCCTCAACTTGTAGAAGATTCATAGGAATTTTAATTTTTTAATTATTTTAATTATTTAATTTTTTATTATAATATAATTTAATATTATTTTTTTTTAATTATTTTAATTTCCAACATGATGGAGCTCCGCCCCATTGGCATCTTGATATCCAAAACTTTTTGAATCAGTCACTTCCTGAGCATTGGGTATGACGCAGAGGAAATGAAGATTCGGCTTTACACTTTTGGCCACTGAGATCACCTGATCTCAAACCATGAGACTATTTCTTATGGGGTTACGTCAAGGAAGCTTTTACGTCCCTCCTCTACCAGCAACTCTGTTTACGTCCCGCCTCTACCAGCAACTCTGTTTACGTCCCGCCTCTACCAGCAACTCTGGTTAATCTGAACCTCTACCAGCAACTCTGTTTACGTCCCGCCTCTACCAGCAACTCTGTTTACGTCCCGCCTCTACCAGCAACTCTGGTTAATCTGAAGAACCGTATCACTGCTACGGTGCTCTCAGTAACAGAAGATATGCTTTCTCGTGTGTGGGATGAGTTTGTCTGCCGTTTAGATGTTTGCCGTGCAGCACATGGGGGACATATTGAACATTTATAAATGTGCAAAAAATACTTTGAATCTCTGTCTTTCCATTGGTGTGTAAAAATATTCATTTTGAATTCATACTTGAATAAATACGAATCTATTAAATTGGGTCCTTCATTTAGCATAACCATGTATAACATTCACCAGTAACATTTATGTGTAGAACTTGAACGCATAATTGCTAATATTCACAATTCGGCTGTTATAAAAAGAATACCAAAGCATCAGACCCACTCAGCGAGATTGCAAGTGATACTATACGTTCGTATGTGCATTCAATGCATCTCAAGCGACGGTTATGCAGATTGCGGCCACGCCGATAGTATAACAGTGGCTTCGCGAATCCAGCAACAGTCAGGATCTATGCTGAGAAACTAAGCATCAATCGTTCGGCAATGTTAACGACTAGATTGAAAGTTTCTTGTGTCTCTCGAGAGAAAAGGTTGCAATACACCCACTGACAGGATGCAAATCTTACTTCGGTATGTACAAAGTCTTTAGCATCAGGCCTGCATTGAACACTTGACCTTCTAGAAAGCCAAATAACCAATTGAAGAAATCAGAAGTACTCGTAACATAAAGTTAGCTAGTCAGAAATACCATAAAAGGAAGTCTAACATTCATATACACTATCGGATACCAGGACTTTGCACTGTTCAACGCTAATATCTATAGTTGAATGAGGATATGCGCATGCAGGTTTATAGTTCGCTAAATTTTGTTCCTTTATGCTCCGCCAGTCTAGAATAGAAGTTTGATGATGATGAACCGACGTACGTTGATGCGTGTTGCTAACAACTGATTTTAGTACTGTTCACTAACGCTGCATAAAACTTGACATTCGGAATCTATTCCACGGAAAACTCAATTTATTCAAAATGCTATAAAAACGCTCTCAGTATATAAGTTAAAAGTAAAACGGCTGTTTTTATCTCATTCGGTAACAATGCATGTGGTATACCGTTTGGACAATAATTTATTAATCTCTGTAAACACTCGATGCGACGGAAACCCATTAACGACAAATTTTTTTCTCAGAAATTAAAGATCTGAGTGCGCCATCTCATGCAATAGAATGCTATGCATGTGTGGTGTGTAATGATGCATTGGTGCATTCTAATAGCAGTGGATCCTTGTTGTGGATAGTGGTGCATAATTGCGCTCTAGTATATAGTGCGTGGTGGTGCAAACTAGTGCATAAACGCGCAATGGTGAACAAACGCATTTTGGTGAATAATTTTGTACTAGTAGTGCATGGTGGTACAAAACGCAAAATGGCGCACTGGTATAGTGATCGGGTATCGAGAGGAGGCACAATTTCATTTCAATGGATAATGGTGAACAAGAAGACATGATGACGCCATTTCTACCGCCGAACGCGGCGTTAAGAAACTCTCGGAGCGCATTGTGAGGTGGTGTTCCCCTCGAACTTTCGACTTTCGAGGGGAACGTCGTCAAATATATATATGGGCCTCGTGGGCATCATTTGATATTCTCCCACTCTGGCCTTGCGCTCAATACTATAACGGTTGTTCGCGTTCGGATGGTCAGATGCATTCAAGTTCGCTTGTCGGGTGTCAAGTTTCGCATCGGTCAAATGATTTCAATTTATATGAATTAACTCTGTTGCTTTGCATTGTCTGCAAAAATAACAGAATTTATGGGGAAAACTTTTTTTCACAAATTTAAAACGTTTCTATTTGATTTTTTAAGGAAAACATTACTGATTGTAAAAAAATGCCGTGCATGCCTAGTTATTTTAATGGATTTACATATTTAGCGAAAAATCTCGCTCACAACCATGCACTGCAGAGATCGTTGTGGCAGGCATAGCAGGTAGTAACACTGCGAAGATCGTTGTGGCATGCACTGCAGGTAGTAACACTGCGAAGATCGTTGAGGCAGGCAGAGCAGGTAGTAACACTGCGAAGATCGTTGGGGCAGGCAGAGCAGGTAGTAACACTGCGAAGATCGTTGGGGCAGGCAGATCAGGTAGTAACACTGCGAAGATCGTTGTGGCAGGCAGAGCAGGTTGTAACACTGCGAAGATCATTGGGGCAGGCAGAGCAGGAAGTAACACTGCCATGATCGTTGTGGCAGGCAGTAAGCTTGGGGGCAAGCAAGCGCTGCTGAGCCTGTGCCTCGCGAGTTCACTTGTACCTGCAGCGGCTGCAGGACAGGCTGCCAACGAAGATAAGCCGAGAGAGAGAGAACATTGCACGATCGGTGAGCACAGCATGGAGGACAAGGATAGAGCAGAACTGGCTTGACTGATCAGAATGTCAGAGTATTAGACGACCCTGACCTGGGCCGGTAATACCGTCATGTAAGATCCGTATCTGTCGCTGCTGATGTCAGCTCTAATTTGGCTCCCCCTGTTAGATTTCCGGCTGGAAACGTTCAACTGGATTATACACAATGATAATATTGTGTGTCGTGATGAAATGCATTGTACAATAAATAATACGTTGTGTGACCAGGTATTTCAGTATATGACGGTGAGGTTTAGGATGGGCATGCGCTTGCCTCTCGCAGACTTGCATGTGTGTGGTATATATAATTTCAATTTAAAATTTGTCAGCACAATAGGGGGGTCAATAATTGTGTCAGCACAATAGGGAGGACTTGCGTCGATGTATAGTGAAACATCGTACGAAGTGTTGTAACTTGTAAGTTATAATAAATAGCTGGAAGTAAATATTTTCTGTGGTAATTTGCTATTATGAAGAAAAGTGAGAAATCACATTGAATCTTTCATTTTTTGGTAGGGTTTTTAAATCAGCCTTATTTCTCCGATGGCCATATACTGTGAAGTTTTTTTACTTTAAAAATTTTTTATAAAACTTTTAAAATTATTCTGCGTCTCGTGATTCCTCGGGCGTGACTTTTTAACCCGCTGCAGTGGCTCTTTCAACCGCCATAACCGTCCAATATGACGACCTTAGGAGGCTCCATGTCAAGTTTTTATTTAAAAACTTTAGCAATAAAATTTTTACGAACCTTTTGTTCCAGCTTTTGCGTACAGTTCTGCCGCTCTCCGGTCCCCTGCGACTCTTCTTGATATTGTGTAATTGGAAGATTAATGGAGCTTTCAATAAAATTTAACCTTTCTCGACTCCTTATCGAGATAACCTCGAGCTGCAGACATCAGGAGATATGCTATGCAAATCGTTAGCTCGGTCGAATATATAATAAGCAAATGGTTGTTAGAAATCTGTAACTGATAGCTTATATGAGACAAGGTTAAGCCTTTGACGTTCATGTCATCTTTAAACGTGTCGGCCCGTGCTATCAAAACTCGCTTAAGGACATTAGCTGCCGATTTATCGTGAGTGATCGGTGGGATTAGCTTGGTAAGCCGTCAATCATTGGCTGACGGAGTTTCGAACTCGCTAATAATTTGATCAGACGATCCCTGTGTTTGCGATCATATCTTCGTTTTTACTGCCATATCATAATTGCGCTCTGAGTGAATGCCAAATTATGGGCTTTAGGCAACTTGATTGCTATTTTTTGCAGTCGAATGAATTTGTTTTTGGTGATCTTAAATTGCAACTGCATTTTTATATTTGAACAAAGTTTATCTCACTATAATAATTAGTAGATTTTTTAGGATTATCGCATTTTCAATATGTAGGTACTGTGAATACAATTTTAAATCATCAAGCGTACTTTTTTTCCAAAGCAGCTGGCATCATGTTGTGAAAGTTGCAAATATAATTCTTTTATTGGTGTTTCTTTACGATCAGTCGTACATTTTAAATAAAGTCTATTTAGTTGTATTAAGAAGGAAATCCTAACTTGTATCAGGCTAACTGGACTCAGGCTCATGACACTCGAACAAAAAAAAAATTGAAATTTTATCTGAGGCGATTGGTGACTCAGTAACATTGAGTGTCCATTTCTTACGTCCATTAAAGCGTCGCCTCCAACTTCTGCAGCGGCGTCGATAGCTCCTCTCGAGGGCGCCATTACGGAGGCCTCAGCGAGGGTTGTTTGCCGCCTCGTCCTGCCCTCTTGTCCTCGTACATGCACTCACATAAATTAATGGGGTGAATTGTCCTAATATTGACCTCTTAGAACGGGCAGAAAGCGGGCGTAGCACTAATAAGCCCTATTTCTGGGCTAAATAAGATCAGAATTATCCACACAAGCTCAAAGCGTGCATCACTATTTGGACAAAAGTCTCACGCACTTCTCTGAGTGTGCGTTTGAGACCTGCGCGTCTCAGAGGGCAGGTCCTAGAAAAAGGATAGGCTTATTGCAGAATTTTTGGCTCCGGGAAGATTGAGTTGGTTTAGAGAGGCTTTATGGAACGGACGGTTTTGTGCGCCGACGATGTGGAAAGCAGCGTTCTAAACGTGAATGTTTTTTCAACCCTAAGCGGATTTTTCTGGGCGTTCATCGATCGTTCGTATTGGACGTTACGAATGTGATTGTCTCTTCATCAAAAGTAGTGAGATTTTGGTACACTTCCAAATCTTGGCGTCACGAGTTAGTTCTTTGCGACAAATTGCATTTAACTTTTCTATGACATTAGTTGCGTAATACGTAATCTTTCAAAGTCTACATGAATCCTGACATGACTGTTGTATTTCATTTATTTAAATTAATAATGTCATTTTACTGACATGTGTTTTCATAATAAGTGCTTTCTATGATTTTCGAAGCACAGCAAAAAATAGAGTCGACGACTACCTGCATGGTCTGTTGGTGAAAAACTCATTTTTAGCGCATTTCTCATTTATGGAAAAAATGCGCTATTGTGCTCGCCATGTCCGTCTGTCCGTCCGTGACTTCACATTTTCGTCGACGAGAAAATGCGCTCTCTGTCACTCACTGCAGTGAGCACCGAGTTATATTTTTTTCAAATAACCTCAACTTGGCCAGCCATCCAGGATGATTTTAGTTTAGTTGTCGCAAAAGTGGAAGACTTACGCTTAACGGGATCATCTAAGAGCATCTTTAATGCTTTTTTTTGTATGACAGTTTGCTCCTTGTGGGTCGGAGAGCATTCTTGTGAATGTCTCTCAGCCCGAAGTTTAGGAGGAAGGCTAACGAATTTTCACTGCCATCGCAACGCAACCCACGCAGCCCCAGCGTGTCCTGACGTACTCTGAACCGTGTGTCCTGACGTACTCTGAACCGTGTGTCCTGACGTACTCTGAACTGTGTGTCCTGACGTACTCTGAACCGTGTGTCCTGACGTACTCTGAACTGTGTGTCCTGACGTATTCTGAACTGTGTGTCCTGACGTAATCTGAACCTTGTGTCCTTATGACCTTATGATGAGTTTAGGACTTCTTAGTCCACGGTCACGCTAATGCACTCTCCGCCTTGATGATCCTAAAACCTTTCATCTCTATTTACTCACGGTCAGGTATTACTGCTATCATCAGTAATATCTGTATTGCTTTCATCATTGATATCTGTATTCCTTTCAGCTGATATCTGTATTCCTTTCATCGCTGATATCTGTATTCCTGTCATCATCAATAACTGAATCCATAATCCCTGAAAGACTCAGAAATGACAACACTCGAAGCGCAATTCTACGTTCATCCATGGCCAGAGAGAAGCTCAATGTCGATGTCTTTCAGTCGTTCACATTTTTCCGCCAATCAAGAGGCTCTTGCTGAAAATCAAGAGGCTCTTGCTGAGCTACAAAGGCAGCGCAACCTTCAATAGACCTGTAAAGAGGAAGACAAGAGGAGAGGGATCTTGTGATCAATGCTGCATCTGTTACAAACTGTGCAGTCGGATGAAGAAAAATATAATTCCTAAAGTTAACTATAATCATTCGTGCCGTGATAATATGTTTGGCAGGACGCATGCAATCCTCTGGTCGGGAGCGACTTTGATCAAGTCATCAAGGAAACGGCGCCTCCGTAACACAAAGGTGGCATTAACATTCGTGGTCCACTAAGGCATTGAAATTGTTTTCATTGTTTAGTCTCTGTTTGCGTGAGCATCGCACACAATTCAGCCTGTTTATTTGGAATGTAGTGTGTGATGAATTATATCAAAACTAATTCATCAGAGTATAATTTATATTAAACTAATTGTAATGTTTCATGTTGTCTCTCATGGGTGTTCAGAGAAAATTCGACTTGATGCAATGCGCACCTTGTTTGGCTAAAATCTTTAAATTTTTTCATTTTCACTCATACGCGATTTTAAAAACGAAGAAATCCCATTTAAGAATTCTAAAACAGTTATTTTCTAATTATAAAATATAAATATAATGCAAGTTCTTACCCAGAAAATAAGAATTATGGATCCGTTATATGAACGAGCTAATTCTACGCAGTGTCGTCGAAGTACTTCAATATGGACTGCACGTAGATCGTTAGGATGTCTTTATAATCCTTGGTCTTGACACTAGAAATAGTTTACGATGATCACTGCCTTTATGAAGCTCGTAAATTCGCCTTTCTTGCCAATCATTGCAATCAATTTTTAGTACAGGGCCCATGTCTTCTGCCAATCTCATTTGTATTTAAGTTCTTAACAGCCAATTCCAGAATTAGCAGCAAATTTTATTATATATGTGTGAAGATACTATCACCGTAAGAAAGAGGATGGTTTTCCTTCGATGAGAAGTGGTTATTTATAGTCTGTCATCTATAATATTATTGTATGAGCTCTTAAGACAACCCAAATGTATATACGTACATTTGACAGCATTTCACCCAGTGGAAAAATTTCGTTAACATTTTTAGGAAAAAAATGCTGGTTATGCATTTGAGCCGTAAAATTTTTTGTTCACAATTTAAGACGATGTAATTTTCAAGAAGCGATTAATTGTTCAATGTTAACAAAAATATCAAATTCATTTTCTAGCGGTTAAAGATGCCCAAAAATTCGCAGCAAAGTGTCTGTCGTAATCATGTACCAACGAATTAGATCAAACGTGATCGTTGCAACCGTACTTATTCCGCGCTACTGGATGGCTTTCGCTATAATAAGCCTACTCTCCTAGCATCTGAAGTTAAAATAACATATATAACGTTGTTTCAACGTAATCAATACACATTAAACGTTATTTCCCTGTTATTTGCCTTGAGGGCAAGCACATGAGAAGCGTTGCTCGTGATATACAATCCAGTCAGCGAAACGACACGCAAGAGCGACAATAATCATCAGAATTAACGGCACATAATGGTCGGTCTGCTGCCCGAGCTTAGCGTTGCGCTCTGCGCCGTTTTTACATTCAACATTGGAATGAAGAACGAAGGTTCTTACTATAGTCATGTAGCTTACGAAAGAATAAAATAGAAGGTCTAAACCAAAATGATACCGGAAGTTGAGACGATAGCATCCGCCGAGTTTATGCATACAAGGTTTGCTTCAATTAAATTACTATCATTTATCTTTTCGTCATTTTTGTCCTATCGCATACTATAGTTCAATTTTTCTAGTGCATACAATGCTCAACATTCCTTGGATTGATGCAATATCATTTTTATCGTCGCTTGATGATTGCAAATATCCAATGAGAATTATATGGTTAAGGCATAACCCTTTAGCGATCACCTACCTTGCGAATGCAAAACACTTCATTGCATCCATACCACATCGCTGAAATTTACTAATTGAAAAAAACATGACAGGTGACATGGGCATACCTGGGTAAAGCGCAGCCTGGAATTAAAGCCAACACATTTGTCAAATTGGACGAATGGGTTTCAAATGTTAGCAAGGCGACAGATATTAAATCAAAGGCGACAGATATGGATACAGCTAGACACCAAAGTGATTTTCAGCAATCGATAATTTGATCACAATAGCACATGTCTCTATAACAAGGTTGAGAGTATCGCGGTATTACTCAGTTGTTACAGTGATGCAACGCTGCAAAATTATACGTGGTTGACGTTTCTATAGATAATGTCGCACATCATTGTTTTTCCTCGTTCATATTCTTCGCAGTTTTGTGCCCAAATAACGGGCATTTTTACATCCACCCTGGTAATAGCTACTTGGTTTTTGTTTGGGACAATCAAGGTATCCACGATTACCTTGTGAGAGCCTTCTAAGAGCGACATCACAGAATGTTCCAAGCTGGCAAGGGCTCGAACCTACGACTCACTGCTTCGATCTCGACACCATTTGACCATTAAATATGGTGCTACTCGATCACTATATAACTTTATAGATTTTCCATTAGGAATCCTACCATTTTATTCATTAAAAGGCCCTGAATTCACGTCTGAAAATTTATTTTGTTTTTGGAGAAACTAATGTATCCAAGAATTTGAACATGGCTATTATGAATAATTTTTCCGGTTGTAGAATTTTATTTAATCTCGATACCATGGTTTTAATCCCACTAAATTGAGCGTGATCGTGCGACTGTGTAATTACTTTTCACGCCAAGTTCTTATCTTGTTACTCATGAAGAAAATCTCATCGCCGGTAAGCGGGATTAACGAGCTATGCCAGCCTAGCGCAACGCCAACGGCAGCTAGCACAAAATTTGATGCGGGACTACAAAAAAAAACATAAATTGCGAGAAGCTAAAACCGCTTTAGAAGCAACGAAGCCTGGACGCGAACTAGAGAAAATTAGCATGAGAACTTCTTCCTGACTTTGAAGAGCTTACCCGCTCGGTGTGTGTTTCAGTTAGCTAATTAACTTCCGAGTTTTCAATTAGGATCTGAGTCCAAGTTTGGATCCAAAGTTCTAACAGTCAGAAAAATTTTATCTTGGAACTTGACTTGGAAATCAATATTTTGCTAATCAAGCGCCAGTTGATAAGCATTATCCAAAGCGAAAACTTGTCCCTGAAATTTGTAATCTTATAAGAAATCGTGGAAAAAATTTGTTCTGCAAAGCAGTTGTTGAAACTTCGTCAGAAACTTTATTTTATATTTTATCGGGCGACGTTATCTATCACACTCGTAATTCAACTATTCAATGTGTCATTATGATGAGTTAATTTTTAAGTTTAAATTTATTTTTCTGCCCCAAACTTCACCGCCAATTTTTTCTCTTCTTATTTAAAAACCATCGACGCTTGGCGTGCGTGTTGAGGGCCATCGTATTTTAACAGAGTGAAGGACTAAAAAATAGTTTGCGCTCATAAAAAGTGAGGACAGCATTTTCGCGGCCTTGAATTAAGAGCCAGTCAATGGCGAGAAATTGCAGGTGATGAAAGAACCTTTTTTTGTTTGGCTGACGTCGCTTAGAAACGCGGCTGAACAGCCACTAACGTCCAATGCTTTTGCACCAACTGCTCCTACCTGAGCACCAACTGCTGCTACCTGAGCACCAACTGCTGCTACCTGAGCACCAACTGCTGCTACCTGAGCATCAACTGCTGCTACCTGAGCATCAACTGCTGCTACCTGAGCATCAACTGCTGCTACCTGAGCATCAACTGCTGCTACCTGAGCACCAACTGCTGCTACCTGAGCACCAACTGCTGCTACCTGAGCATCAACTGCTCCTACCTGAGTTTCAACTGCTCCTACCTGAGCATCAACTGCTGCTACCTGAGCATCAACTGCTCCTACCTGAGATTCAACTGCTCCTACCTGAGCATCAACTGCTCCTACCCGAGTTTCAACTGCTCCTACCTGAGCATCAGCCGAGATATGGGGTCACATTTCTATCTACTAAATTCGCGGAATTTGCATAAGCTTATCGTCTCGTAAGTTTAGAACTGAACGCGCTTCTGTTCGTCCAACTTGTGAATGAACTTTACATTCCAGAAGCGAATTATTCGATGATCCCGGTTGATCAACGAATTGACTTCGATCATTCATGATGCCGCCTCTACTTTCAGTATGACCGCCTCTCTACTGATGATCTTCCTACTCTTCGTTAAAATTAATCCACGGTCATATCAGTGCATATTTTTATGCGAATGAATGAAGTAATGTATGTATTCTTTAATTTTACTACCTACCCAGGACGTTGAAGAATAGTATGTAAAAATGACGACGAGGCGCTATAACCTGACGAAAAGTGGATAGAAACCAGCCTTTTGCATGCCTTCACTTGTCAGTTGCAGCTGATCGTTCTCATCGACAAATTGCAAAGTCCACCTGAATGAATTTTAATCACGAAAGAATTGTCGTGCAATTCATTTCGAACTCGGTACGAGCCCTAGCTGCCTCGTCAATCAGTAAGTAAAGTAAAAATTTAACGGGGAGAAAAATAGTATCCTGTTTTGAGGCTCATTGGAAGGCCAGACGTGCCCTTCATGTCCATCCTGCTGCTGTCGTGTTGAAAATTTCGGGGCGGATCAATTACCTTTTTCGCTCTGAGGTACGACGCTCGGTGGGCTTTTCGGCAGCGAAGAAATTGGATTATAGAAAAGATCTGTTAACTGAAATTGGATATTCTGCTCGGGACTGTTCAATTTAATGGATCTTTCTTCCCAAATTTTGTAGAAATTTTGATCGAATGCTCGATGTCGAATTTTGATCGAAGCACCACAGAGATAAATTTTCTTAATTTTCAAATTCTCTTCATTATTTACGTTACGCGCTGAAATGAAAATTCACAAAGTAAGAATCTTTAGCCACCAAAATTTCTGCCATTTTCTGGCCAAATAATGCGCAAATAATTCCCAAGTCTTTTTGTTTTTATATAACTTTGTACAAATTCCATATTCTCTTTTTGGTGGACGTAATTCTTTGTAAATAATGGCACGCGCAACATCAACTGCTCCTGTAACACGAGCCTGAGATTGCGATGTATTTTTGTATAACCGTTGATGAGTGCCTAAATTGCTGTGTAGAGTGCGCGAAAAAAATGAGTTATCATTGGTTTGTTTTTTAAGTCATGATTTCTAGTGCGACACATTATACCACTGAACTCGGAAATAATTTAACTCGGCGAAGTAAACATAAAATATTTATAAGCTTTGTTATAGATAACGAATATTTTTCTGAAATCATTAAAATGAGTTTATACGGAATAGATGGCTGACATGACTTCTTATCCGATGGCAAAATATGAAAATAATGTCCGGATCTTTTGAACTAATTTCACAACAATTTACCCTTCCCTCAGAACTGGACAGCTCAAACATTTTTGTAACAAGTGTTGCAGAAAAATGGCGCTGTGGGGTGTAGAAGGTTTATGGCAGATCTCGTGGAGTTCAAGCTACGCAGCGATCGAACTCTTCAACAGAGACGAGGCTGAAGTTAGGCAAGCTTCAGTACCCGAGTTTCTAACAATCTTTAACGCAATTAAGGTCTTTGTCTGTTTAAGGACAAGGAAATCCTAAGAGAATAAGATTCCTCGTTGTTTTGCGATGTTATTCATGCAGTCGTAGCCTCAAGAAAAAAACTCTTCGATACTCGATAGTTCAATACGCGCCAAAATACGACCGTTGAGCCTCAGGTCTCCTGCATTTTTCATTCAAGCCAGAAAATCTTGCATTAATCATCGAGCTTCAACATTGATTCGTTTTCATTATCCTCTAATTACAATGAGCTTGCAGAATCTTATCAGACTATGCACAGAATAAGTAATTTAAAGCGAGACCTGATACTCAAGACCATAACACTCGTAGAAGTAAAGAAAAAGTCTTACTTAGCGTGACTTCATGGTAAAAATTTTCCTAGCATAATTAATTGAAACTCCAGTTGATAAACTAAGACAGGTTAACCCTCTACCTACTGATACTTCCTCTCGTTACCAGTCCTTTAATTACTAACAGTATTGACGACGCTAAATTTATCTGTAAAACACGGGCTTAAAATTTAGCTCACTGCTTTACATCAGACTATTTAATGCTAACTGACGGCATGTCGACGGCAGGGCGGGAGAATACAGGCATAATTTGCACCCGGAGACAACAAAAGCAGCACAGGAACTACTTCCAAACAACTCCATGAGGCAGCAACAAGACAAAAGCTGCACCAACTTCGAGGGGACGCTGATATTCGCTGCAGTTGTAATATCGTAGCCAATATAAGGCGGAAAATTAAGTTATTGACTTCAATTCGGTTGTAATCACTTTTTCCGTTCTTCTCACATATAGAATACATGTCGACCGAGCATAAGTCATTCGCCTTATGCAACTAAGTAATTATAAGAATAAAATTTTTCAGGAGTTTGAAAATTTACGATTTCAAATTTCACGATTGAAGCATGAAGCCAGTTCTTCATTTTAAATAAAGCTTTACAGGTCGAGCGGTTTGGTCAGGAAGGACCTCCGTTATTTGCGGTTCCGCAAGAAGAATGGCCTCCCGGGGTTTCCGATTTTACGAGCGACGCCTGCGGTTTGTCATCGGAGGTTTCGGCTCCCAGAATTTGGTGGAAAATTCTGGGAGCGGTCGGGGTCGGTTCTGCCTTTAGAAGTGCAGGTGCTCGTAAATTCCTACATCATTTTTAAACCCGATGTCAATCGCTTGAATGCTTATGAATAAAATTGACCGATTATATACGGATGCGAGGCGAAGATTTACCATTTTTTGCGGTTTTGTCTAGTTACTGTAGAACCATAATTAGGTTAAACTACGTACGTCCCATTGTAGTGGTAATGATGGACCGCTGACATTTTGAACAAAAGGAAAGTGGCGACGTTACAGTAAATGAGAGAATGTGAATGGTTGTAATTCAACCTTTTCAAACGCTATAAATTTACGACCTCGGATATGAATGGCGTCTTTGAAGGGATGTCAGGGCCATAGTTGATAGTATATGGGGATGTGATGTTCTTATAAATATTAGCTTAGTTATCTCGTTCAGGTTTTTAGTCACCACTGACGTGACCTCGGGTAGAAATCTGTTATACCTTGTCACTCATTTATGCAATTCCACCACGTAGGTATACGTGGGTCAATTAGTCGTGTTTATTTGTGGTGTATGTCATATCTGGGTTGTACAAGTGTTGTTTTTATTGATTGTAAATATTTTTATTTATACGGCTTCTTTATTAATCGTGTGTGATCCGTGCTATATTTTTTACTTTAATTAGTTTATTTATTTCGTAAGTTCTAAATTTGTGTTTTAATTTTTGTGTGTGCAGAAAGGCTTCTAAATAAGGACTTTCAAAAATTATCTTTGGAAATCGATGGTTGGCCTAAAGAAACGCGCGGTTTTCATATTTGCTACTCTGCTCGAAGATATGTGGCTTAAAGAACTTACTTTTTATTCAGTGTTATTCATCTTCTTTTAGTAGCGATCGTTATATGATTCTGGAATCATTGACGGCTTTAATTTTAAATTTTTATTTAGTTATTTATCGAATGGGCCCCGACAATAGCAAAGATGGATGCTGGACTTGTTTTTTAAGTTTCTTCGAAACTCGACGATTTTTTTAACTGCAAGAAAGCTAAAAACTCGTCCAATTATAAGGATTCTTTTTACGAGTACCTCCCTTTGGTCATTTGAACTACAGGCTTATTCGCGATAGCTTCTTGACTTGAAATCTCAATAAAATAAGAACTAGCAAAGATATCATTACAGTATAACTTTTATTGAAAAAGACATTTCCTGAATTTTTGTATCATTTAGTTTTAAAAATGGCATCAGATAAATTACGGCCCCAATTGTCAATGCATTCCGTTGGTCTATTTTTGGTGTTTCGTTCAACTCACTGAAGCAGATTGATGGGTATGTTGGCGATGGTTGGCGTATGTTGTTTATCAAATGAGGTAGTAGGGTCCTTGGAGTGTAATTGTAAACAATTAACTTGAGATAACTTGTCCTAAATGTGTTCACCCACGTAACAATCGATTTTTGATCTGGAAACCGACCTGATGGACATATACGGATCCGAGTACCGAATGATCGTTGAGTGGCGATAATGAACGGCAATTAGAAAAGTACGCATCGACAGCAAACGCACGTTGCTCACTTGTCCAATGCATAGTGGCAGTGGACAAGGCTGAGCACAAAGCTTCGTTACTTATAAATTACTCATCGCTCTTTCCCTACAACATCGAAATACAAAAAGGGTAATATCCGTGAATCACCCTGTATTTTTTTATTCTAAGTAACAACATTGCTCAAACCGATTAACAAATATAACTTGTCCTAAATGTGTTCACCCACGTAACAATCGATTTCTGATCTGGAAACCGACCTGATGGACAAATACGGATCCGAGTACCGAATGATCGTTGAGTGGCGATAATGAACGGCAATTGGAAAAGTACGCATCGACAGCAAACGCACGTTGCTCACTTGTCCAATGCATAGTGGCAGTGGACAAGGCTGAGCACAAAACTTCGTTACTTATAAATTACTTATCGCTCTTTCCCTACAACATCTGGCTGCTTGACACGAAATACAAAAAGGGTAATATCCGTGAATCACCCTGTATTTTTTTATTCTAAGTAACAACATTGCTCAAACCGATTAACAAAAAATGAGCACCTTACTGATTTGTAGGAATTATTTGGTTACATTATAAAATAAACTCATTAAATATTAATATCACTCGATTGCTCGAATCGCAGATCGAGCAGAAATTTAAAAACAACGAACAAGCAGTTAGTATAAAGTCGTAATTAAAAAAGAAACGATTTGTGTGACTTATTCTTTGCATTTAAATATCTGGGTTACGTCGTCAAATTCATCGTTGTACACATGAAAGAATTTACATCTTGAAATTTAATTCCACTCAAAACTTGACGATTCTAAGTTCTATTCATTCGCTGAATAGTAAGACTTCGACTTCATGACGATTATTTTCCAATTATTATTTTCCAGTATCCAAAGAATATTGTGTTAATTTTTCTTAATTTAATGTTATTTTAAGGACAAAAAAAAATAATTTCAGTCCCGTTCGAGTGTATCACTTTCGCAAATATTTGAAATGAAAAAAGCGATTATAGTGCATAGTGACTTCCAACGTCGACCAAATGGGCTGTCAATGAACTGCCGACGTAAGCAAGGACTTTAGGGCAAAACCATCTGCAAAAATGTCAGCATATTTTAGCACTATTGTTTGACGTTATATTTAATTTCAAATCTAATTATAAATCTGAGCTGTCTAATTGAACTAAAATATATATATTATTATTTATATTTTTCGCCAGCAAATTCGGGACATTATTCCTTTCGAACTCCTTGTATTAGCTTGAAACCAGCGTAGCATGACACCTAATAGGAATTATTGTTAGCAGCTCATTATTCTGTTTAAGTTTATCTGCACCAGGGCTATTAAATAATCGGATTATCGTTACAAAGCTATTTTTAAGTTGAATTGAGATGCATTTATAATTTTTACGATACTCTGTTCCTCCTAATGTTCACTTCTCCCGTCAACTGACAATAAAATGTACGAGCCCCAAGTAATTTGAAGCCATGAATTTCCTGACCGTTCCATGCATGACGATGCCTTTTTGTTCACAGATTTTACTGGGACCTCTGCATGCTGCTGCTGCTGGTCGCCAACCTCATCATCCTGCCTGTGGCCATCTCCTTCTTCAACGATGACCTCTCCACCAGATGGATCGCCTTCAACTGCCTCTCAGACACCATCTTCTTGATAGATATCGTCGTCAACTTTAGGACAGGTACCGAGCACTGCACCTGCTGTTAGTTATGAACATCGGCGTCAACTTTAGGACAGGTACCGCACAGTGCACCTGCTGTTAGTTAATGAACATCGTCGTCAACTTTAGGACAGATACCGCGCAGTGCACCTGCTGTTAGTTAATGAACATCGTCATTAACTTTAGACAGGTACCGCACAGTGCACCTGCTGTTAAATGAACATCGTCGTCAACTTTAGGACAGATACCGCACAGTGCACCTGCTGTTAGTTAATGAACATCGTCATCAACTTTAGACAGGTACCGCACAGTGCACCTGCTGTTAAATGAACATCGGCGTCAACTTTAGGACAGGTACCGAACAGTGCACCTGCTGTTAGTTAATGAACATCGTCATCAACTTTAGGACAAGTACGCCGCTTTGCACCTGCGGTTAGTTCATTGCCGTCGGGAGCACATTGTTGCGAATTCGGATTTGCGATTCGTTGGTGCGTGAATTTGTTCATGTGAATGTTTCTTCAGCTTAAATTAAGTACTGTTTCTTTATTGCTGGCATTATGAGATGCCAATCACCTCGTTTCATATTCTTTTTCCGGCAAACAGTAGTGACACGCGCGTAATCTGAAAAACGGAAGTTTTAGAGTATTTTTTTGGTCACTAACACACAAGTGAACACTTTTCGGAAATTTTTTCCCGTGATGTAAACAACAGGCAGTCTGGAGTAGGACACGTATCTCTGTCCGCCGTATCACGGCGTCAGCTCAGCTTTATCTCTGTTCTGTCAGCCGTGAATTTCAGAGAATAAATTTATTTGTTCGCAATTCTGAATTTGCCAGCGGTTCGTTCTCTTTTGATTTAGTGAAGAGACCGGCCGTCATGCTAACCTGAGCGTTAGCTAATCTTGTCTCTGCTTTTTCTTCTCAAAGTTTGTAATCGCCTGATGATAAATGCCTTTCATATTTGTTAGTATTTTTGTATCAGTATTATTTAGAAAAAAAAACGGATAAATCAAGTTTTTTTTAATATAATTTTAAACTTTTGAATATGTTTACACTACGAGTAATTAAAAAGTAAACTGTCGCCACATTGTCCCCTCTATACAATGAATTTCTTGAGATTATGAAGTTTTATAGCTGCATTCGACTGACTTCAAAATTCATGCACAGGAATTATGCAGCAGGACAATTCAGAGCAAGTTATTCTGGACCCTAAACTGATCGCCCGGTACTACCTCAAGACTTGGTTCTTCTTGGACCTCATCTCCTCGGTGCCGCTGGACTACATCTTCCTCATCATCAACCAGGTGAGCTCTGCTTGTCTATGTACGAGGCTATATTTATTTTCATCACTATCCGCTGAGCAAATTGTAATGAATTCTACCATTTGGCAAGGCAAATTCCTGATATAATTTCGTTTGGTATTACTTACGATTCTGCACCTAATGCTCTTTAGAAGGCATTGTAGTTTATTTACCATATTTGAATGTTCCGAGTCGAATTTTAAATGTCCTTCAAAAAATCTTTTTCTCTTCGAAAAAAAGATAAGATGTAATGACTAATGACACTCGTTCAAAATTTACCTGCTTCGATGTTAGCAGTAGATACATTGTTGTATTATATGAAATAAATGTTACATTCTGCCGTGAGCTCCTTTGCTCGTGTTGATATCTGCCACGGGTTATTGGTTACGTCAGTGTTAGTGTGTTTAGTTCATGTACTTCGTATATTTAATTTTTCCTATGTTCGTAGATCGAAAACGTCAGTAGATACGTTGGAATCAGTGTCAGTAAATTGCATCACTATTGATTGTTACGTTCAGACTTGCCTAGTCACTTCTAGGTCGAGTATCCTTTCACAGTTCTGTCACTTCTAGGCCGAGTCTCAGTTTTCAGTTCTGTCACTTCTAGGCCGAGTCTCAGTTTTCAGTTCTGTCACTTCTAGGCCGAGTCTCAGTTTTCAGTTCTGTCACTTCTAGGCCGGGTCTCAGTTTTCAGTTCTGTCACTTCTAGGCCGAGTCTCAGTTTTCAGTTTTGTCACTTCTAGGCCGAGTCTCAGTTCTCAGTTCTGTCACTTCTAGGCCGGGTCTCAGTTTTTAGTTCTGTCACTTCTAGGCCGAGTCTCAGTTCTCAGTTCTGTCACTTCTAGGTCGAGTCTCCTTTCGCAGTTCTGTCACTTCTAGGCCGGGTCTCAGTTCATGTCTTCCTTTACTTGCTACCTCCTCCCCTCATTCACTTATAGAAATTTTAGCCTCCCGCTGTCTCCCAGATGACATCAAATAAGTTTGGGGCTCAGACGAATAGTTTGATGCGTTTCTCATTTCTTCTCAAATTAAAGCTTTGTGGTAAAAACAAATTTCTTGATTCTTATCATGATCAGATTAACATAAGGAAATCATTGAGCAATGTATCCGATTGTGAAGATATCCATTATGTTAACCGTCATCCATCTGAACATTACTGATATGGGTAAGAAAATCAGAATTTCTCCGTCGTAGACTTTTTATTAATATTACTTTTGTTTGATGGTTGCGACAAACGCTCATTCACCAAACTTGCGAAACCATTCATCATCTCATTACCTCAATGCTACAATTTCATTTACCACTCATTTATGCGAAGAGCCTCAAAATTACAATTTCATTTGTCTCTCCTTGTCTTGCAGTATCGGAAAGACGCCGAGGTAAACGGCGAAGACAGCATGCGCAATGTACGACTTTTCATTCCCGTTTAAATCTTCATTTATTTATTTATTTTACGTTCTCTCTACGTTTGAACACCAAATTTTTAGTTGAAAATGTTGTTGATGTTTCTGCCTGTCTGCACTTCAAGTAAGGCTTCCTGTCGGACTAGCACGTATAAACTGTCATTTCTTTGTAATTACTTTTGCACTCGTGTACATTGATTGCACTAATGAATTTTGATTTAATTTATGTATTTAATCCATGTTTCAGCTATTATTCCATAATTTTTCTATTGCCAAGTTTAAAGTCTCTGTTACTGTCACTCGTATTTTTTTTAAGTTTTGCTTGTAGAGGGTGACTCATAGTCTAATAATAACTTATTTTCCAACAAATTTCGTAGCTTTGAAATTTTAAATAATAAATTCAATTTGAACATGTCCTAGAATAAAGCAAATTCTCGAGCTTCCCTTTTCTTTTGAGTGGCACACTTCACCGCGCATAGCGCAGTCCTCTCAGTCCAGCGAAACGATGACACTATTAAATAGTATTAGTATGTTCAGTGTTCATTGCCTCATTGTTTTACACTTGAAACGACCGTACCTGTGTTCAGCTGCTTGTTATAGTGATTCGTTTCCGAGAAACATCATTCAACGTCCAAAAATATAAATCCTTTCTGAAATATTTAGATTAAAAACGCAACGGGTGATATTGACAAAGGCACAAATATTTTTGCTATGTCTAACGAAGGCATTATTTACTGCTGTCTTAGAGAAAGGTAGCTTTCTTTTGCCCCATAAGTGGCGGAGCATCGCCGTATGTCTTAGCCCAAAGTTAACAATCCGGGTCAATTTACAATAAAAATGGAATAATTCGTTCTTAGCATCGAAAATCTTTACTTAACAAGAAATTAAGATGTCAAGAAAGTCTGTGTACTCGACCAAATGTGTACTCGACCTCTAAGAAATCGTACGATTTTTTAGACAGTTGATCTGTAGGCATAAAGTATGTTTAATTCGTACGATGCTAGTGGAACGTAAGCTCGGGTCACCCGTAGACAGGGACATATGCGCTTCCCCTCCTGCATGCCAGCACTGAATTCGAATACCACTATAGGGTGTGAAGTGTCTCGTTTTAATTTTTTTTAAGTTTATCCTCTTTGAATTGTTATCTAAAGTTGTGCAAATTCATCTTATTAAATTGAGCAGATAGTTATAGATAGCCCAATTTAAGGATTGTAATGAGGCACTTACAGTTTCTTCTCAAAATTGGTAGAAAACTTATTCTAGGCCTGAACAACTTGAGCCTTTGCTAATTTATGAGTAGAATCTTGTTGTAAGTTAAAGTTTAGAGTTGTTGTTTGAATATATTCATTATTTATGTTGAAATTCGAATGGTTTTGAATATGATTTGCCATTAACTCGAGTTTGTATGACATTTAGTGATATTATCATTTGAATGATTGTCGTGAATCGTTCGTATTAGTGGTATTTTTTGCTTTAATCATCAACTTTTATTTAATCATTATTATTCATGGCCTAATTGACAACTTTTATTATTCATGCAATCTGTTGTAACCTAATCAGTACTGTTGATATCATCTTCGATGTAATAATTTTCATTCCGAACACTAATATTCTTATAATGGCAGGATGTGAACGAGGGCTTCCAGATTTTGCACGCTGGCCGGGCGTTGCGGATCCTACGTCTGGCCAAGTTGCTGTCGCTGGTGCGGCTGCTGCGGTTGTCGCGGCTAGTGCGCTACGTGTCACAGTGGGAGGAGGTCTATGTAAGCAGCGTCAGTGTTCCTGCTGCTCTCTGTTACACTCACACTGTACACCTACACCTGCGGGACGGCTTCTTGCTCTCCATATTCTTCGACCCAGAGATTAAATTCATTCAAATTTGAAAACTATCTAATAACAATGAGACGGGATTAATATAAATTGAAGTTCTGTGTCCTCATCAAACAAGTTTGCACTGCAACTTTAGCTGAGAATTTTTAAGTCTTTGCACATGTCTGTTCCATGCCATTTTTGAGTTATGCTCTTAGTTTATATCCTCACTACGCATTGATGTTTTTTTCCGTATTTTTTTTTTCGCACACGAGAGTTACCGACGAACAACAAACGGTATTCATTTGACACGTTTTTTCCGAGATTGTGCTTTCATTCTTATTAAGACTGAGTCGTTGATGGAAGTCATCACTAATTAAACACTAATTATTTTCCATCACTTTGAAGCATGCAAAACTCACATGTGTGAACAAGCTCGAGGTATCACATTCAGCATTCATATTCCTTTAGATCGGAGTTGCTTACCTTTCTTACAAGTCTAAACTTTTTTTAGCACTTAATATTTATATAGATCTACAAATAGAACACGAATTATGTTTCCACACGACCACTTATTCATCATGCATTGTTTACAAGCAACATAATCTCAAGTTTTCAATTCTTCTTCATCTTATGCCTTATCATTGTAGGTTCACGATTAAATCGTCCCCTAAAATTAATTACCGTCTTTGATGAAAATTTAAGAAAATACATACTCAAAAATGGCGTGTAAGAAGGCAAATAGCAACCTGACGCTGCAATAGGAAAGCAGGAGCCCGTCCTGCAGGCTTGGGCGAGAGGCAGCGACTGCGTCTCGCCCAAGAGTCGTAGCCTCCCGCACCTCAACTCTACAGCCTGCCGCTACGCCTGCAATCAAATAATCGTATGACAACTTGGGTAGGGCTGCGCCCACGGCCACGCTAGTCCGCTGCCTTGAAATTATCTACCAATCCATTCCGAGAGACGAGCGTCATGGGCTCAAGTTGTGAGTCGAAGCAGCGCCGTGCAGTACGCACTCCCGTCTTAACCCCTTAACTCTAAACCTAATAAAAGTTAGAGAAATTCTCAGGCAATGAAGATAGATTAATATATTTTTGAAGAAAAGCAAGCATTCACTTCACTTTCATTTCTTCACTTTATCCTGATAAGTGCATTGTGCCGGAATCCTTTAACGGGAATTAATTTATTTATCCGGGCTTTCCCCGGTTTAAGAGACAATTCCAAAATTTTGCTTCATAAACGTGCGAAAATGAACCCTTGCCGGATAAATTGAGCATTCGGTTGAGTAAACGAAATGCAAGGCGCCCAGGCTGCAGAGTTCAAAATCAGTACGAGTAGCAGCGGAGTGGGAGGTCTGCTGAACAAAGTAGTATCACGCTCAGATGTTCAGAGAACTACGCGGTACGAGAATGGAACCAAGTTCAGACTTGTCCGCTCATCCTGTGTTGGCTTTACTTTTCTTGTACAGTATTTTATTCTAATTTCACTGAGTATGAGAAACATTAATGATACCAATACGCAGTCAGTTTGTTTCAAGATCACGAGACTTAAATAAGGCGTTGTTCTCTGAGCTGCTGAGCCAAATGTGCGCTACTTGGGTGTGGAAGCTGAAAAACTGTCGCGCCATCTCCCGTCAAATGTTATTGTTGACATCTTGATTTAAAAATAATAATATTATTGACCATCTTGATATGAAAAATAGCTCCTAATAACTTGTCACGTTTTAAACTGAAGTTTTGCTTAGGGAGTTTGAGCAATGTATTTCGGGCTATTCACTGACGTCAAAAAAAGTGCGAGTTCTTTTGACGGCTTGAGATGGCGGGACATTTTTCAGTGTAACCGTTAATTGCAATGGTTAATCAATACATCCACTTGTATATGAGTGTGTTATATAATGATCAGTGTCTTAGATTTGTTTCATATAATACTATAATAATCGGTGATGCTTATTTTTGCGACAGAAAATATTTCAGAAGGGAAACGGCAAATTTAACAAATTTAAGCCATTAAATAAATGCCCAGCAGGACATTTCCATCATCAGTTTTTGCGACACAGGATCTGTCAAGCTTAGACCGCCATCTTTTATTTGTGATATTTATAAATATTTAAACATTTATTTTATATTAACTCTCTAAAGGACACCATGGTGAGATGCAAAAACATGGGCAGTTCAGGTGACATTCAACACAATAGTGATCAAATACTGATATCGTGATCTACGGACAAACGATAACTATGGATTAATTAACTATTTTATCGCAAACAGCGAATAATTTACCTAGTTTTTGGTAATGAAACCAATCGTTGAATAGGTACAAATTGAATATGCCACAATTCAAAGGGGAAGGGTGTGAGAGTTGTGGAAACACAACTCTCTAAGAAGCCGAATAATTGAAACAATTATAGTTGAGGCGATGTTTGTTGAATATTGCCAATGAAGTGACTTCCATCGCAGATGTCATTGTCGCGGAAAATATAGAAGGCTCTGGAAATGGTTTATGCCAAGTTGATCAATTCATAATGGTACTGGAACGAGATCTGAATTTCAATTCCTGCTTCAAAAAAATTTTCTTAAAAAAAATAAATTTTGAGTAAAATCAACCAGCTAGTGCGGTGTACTTCATTGCATTATTTACGTAATTAAATCGCTTACAGAAAACAATTGTTCAATCTCCATTTTTCGTAACATTTCCTGGAATTACCAATAGTTTCTCTGTATAGATTGCAAGTTTTAGTGGGAGAACTCAAGCGATGAGTTTAGTCCAGCTGCCTGAAAACTGACCCGTCCATTATTCACTGGTTATAAACTAGATGATAACAGCCCTGCTACTGAAATATTTCTATGTTGAAACATCCCTGTTGGAAGAAAGGTTGTTATATATTCCAAATAATGAGAAGATTGATATAAAATGTTTTTTATCGATTTTCTCGTCTACTCGTTTACGGAGATCTTTCGTGTTTGACGTTAGCCAGCAGAGAATGATTTGTTATCAAATAGCCGGCACAAACAGGAGTATGTTGATTGTTAGCTCTTGTTTTTTATGTACTATTTAGACAATCTTATGTTGATCTTACATCAGTGTTAGAGTGTTATATCTTTGTTACAGTTTGAGAATTAGAACGTCTACGATTTTTTCTCTTAATCTATGTTTTCTAATGATTGCGTACTGCTTTGCGATGATCTACATAATAGGATATTGAACTATATCCTTTGTATCGTAGTTTTTCTCTTTGCTACAATATATACAGCTTTGATTGACCAAATAACTAACCCCTGAGAGCATCAGTAGACATTGATCCTATTCTTTGCAGTACTATATCTCCTCGTTCTTTATTGAGAAACGAGGTCTTCGCTTACGTATGATTAATATTATTCCTTCAAATTTTTGTCATGACAAGTGTGCATACTTTGAGAGTTCGGGTCCGAGCTCTGGTATGATACTTGATTCTTCTCCCTCTCTCTGCCGTCGTTTCTGACCCGATGCTTGTACTAACTTCAAAATATTACACGCCCCTGCCAGACGTACATGATTGCCTAAACCTAACTTTTCCCTGCCGTTCTTTTAGGCATTTCTCTCACCCATCTCTTGACAACGTACAGTTCATGAATCGCTCCAACCTTCAGACGTACATTATTGTTTTTTTCTACTTTTGTCTCAACTTTATAAATTTTTATTTCTCCTCTACATAACCGACGTACATTACGCATCCTCTCTCAGAACTCTGGCACGTTTTTCGTAATTTCCCCTAGAAGTGCGTTTTCGGGTTGAGCTCTAAACTTTTTAAACATACACTCAAATTTTGTTATCATATCACTGATTATCTAGGTGTCCATAGCAGCGTTTTCACCTCTTTGACGGAAGTACGTTGCAGCAACTAAATTATTTCATATTCATACAAGAGACTCATTCTTATGATTGATTATACACTCAATCATGAACATTACATTATCTTGCGTAGAACCTCTCGCCACGGCGCGAGACGCACATACCAATGTTGACCTCGTGCACCGCCAGACGTATACTACTGCGTCTCAGAACTGAGACTACTTATATTTCATTTTCTTACTTATGCAAAAGTTATCTACTGCAGCCTTTCTCTCAGAGTCATGCTACACGTAAAATACTCGATTCTCTCAACTGCCTTCTCGGCCATCGCCAGACGTATGTATGTTTGAACGTCTCTATCATTTGCTGGCCAGACGTGAATTACAAGCTCTAACAGTAACGAAGGTACTCCTTGAGTACCCTAATACCTTCACACTCATCTTATCTTAACCATCATTCCTACCCCCAGCATTCATACTTTATCTTCTCTTTTACTTACCCGAAGATGGTGTATGTGAGCTGCTCTATAGACACCTTTCCAGAACTGATCTCATGTCTCAATCTGCAACCTGGTTTGTCTGATACGTTAGCTGACCAATAGCTTGCTATAATCTTCCATTTAGAAATGAAGTTATTGAGTAGTGACGATAACTGTAGCTCTCCTATGCATCGTTATCTCTGAGTTTGTCGTAGCAATGCTTCTTGGCCCCATGGGACTACTCAATCCAGACGTTCTTCATGCTGATGAGCTTATCGTAGATAACTTCAGAATTTAATGCGTTTTTTGCAGACATACTTCATAGTTGAGTGTTGACGAGTTATTTCGTAGCCTAAATTAATGGGATTTGTTGACTTTACTTAGTCCCTGTTTACCTTTAACTAAGAAGGCATATTTTATGCTCGAGTAATGATTGCAATTGTTCCTAACTGTTCAATCTCATGTGTTGCTTCCAAGCTTTCTTTGGTGCGAACGCATTTATGTTGTCAACTGAAGCATGCGCTGTAGAAGCTTATTTTTGACATTTTTGTTTTGCATCGGAGAATTCCTACAGCGCCGCAAAGGGCGAAAAGATGCGCTGTACTGTGAGTACCAGACTTTGTGTTGTTCACGTGTCAACCGTATACACGGTGCTTTCTGCTTCAGGACTTGCAGATCTTACGGATCGTCTGCAACAGAAGTTGAGTTTAAAGACACAACCAAGATGTTTAAAACTTTGACAAACTGTGCCCGTGTCCAAGTTTGTTTCGAGTTGTATTTTGAATTATCTAAAATGTAGATCCAAATTTATGCCTATTTGTTGGGCACTTTTCTTGCGCCTATTTAATTTTCGTTTGAAATTCAATCGAAGGACAGACCAGAGATGCTTTTGAGACGGCCGATCATCTAAGAAACAGCTGCTTGTGTTTAATTTGCGACCCAAAAGTGTATTTTTTAGTTAATCATGAATGCCTGACAATCTATTATTATAGAGATCCCTATCTTGATTACACGATCTTGTTTTTAAATGAATACATCTCGGGTAACAGCTACAGGCTTTCTTCCCCATGTTTCATTTCCACCGCCATCATTCTAATTTGTATTCCAACTAAATTTTCAACAAAATTTGACTGCGACAACTACGCGACCGTTATGCTTTAATTTGCATGCAACAATCACTCATACAAAATCTAAAATATTTTCCTTGTCTTCCGTTCCAATTCTTCCATAAATCAATTCAGGTATCTGAACCTATTCCCGTAGCTAACAAATTAATTCAGTCAGCGTAATTGAGTCAGTCAACGTAGGAGGTAGGGAGATGTGATCCGTGTTTTGATGCCTTGCCTCTTCCATTTGCCCCCATCCCTTCTGTGTCACTGTGGCCGCTCTCGAGATAGATTCACATGAATCATCGTCACAAAAACAATGAACGATGGAGTGACCCTGAAGCCCTGAAGAGGCGGCAAAAGAAGGAAAACAGTCTATGCAATTTTTCATTTTTTAAGGTAATTTTTATGGTTATAGCGTAGACCTTTCTAGTGACCATAATAACAAATGCATGGAGTGTTTCCTAACGACCTAAGCATGCTCGCCTACAATGTTTGCCTTGTGTGCTATTCTATTATTTGGTGTTGCTTTTCGGTCTTGTTGCGTGTTGTGATGAGCTTAAATTAAATTAAAAATTCTTTTTATGGCCCTATGAATTAAGGAATAAGTTGTAAGGCTTTAACTCTAATGAATAAGTTGTACTTAAAAAGAGGTATGAGCAAAAAAAAAAGAAAAAAAAAATGATTGCCTCATATTGTCTAAGTGTGTATTTGGAAGAATTTCTAACCTATAAATTGCGATTTTGATTCAAAGTTTTGTGATATATCTTTTGCGAGAGAATTAATGATATAATAGTAAAAATTTGAGCATTTCTGCTTATGAATTTTTTTCAACTTTAATTGCTACGCGCTCATTTTGCAGTGTCAGAATAGTTCAATATAAATTCGTGCACCACTTGAAGCTGAATAATTTCGTGAAATAATTTCAAATTTCCTATCGTGAATCGTTGTAAGTTTTCCAATCGCAGTGAAGTGTCAAAATTTCATCGAATTAGGAACTTTTTACGAATGTCATCGGGAACAATAGTGTTTATTCACTGATATTTAGGTTCTATATTTTTCCAAGTTCTGCATGTTAGCATGCGTCTAGAAGCATATCAGTTTAATGTAATTTTCTGTGATGCCATTGCAAAGCAATCAATTAACGGGCATATTGATACGTTTACTTCGCAACTTTTTTGATTGATCTCAATCACGTTCGCGTTTCTTAGTCTAAATCACATTTTCCGTAAACTAATACTAAGCGTATAAACTTAATAGCTTTTCGATGCCTCAATTTATTAAAGAAACCCTGCAAGTCCGAAGACAGGTACTGTTGACATTGTTAGCCTGGAACATAGAGCTTCTTTTGACGAATAATATCTTTCATTGTTGCGTTTATTTGGAACACCTCTCATAAGATGGTTGTCTGCAAGAAGTTTTACTTTTCATTGCCTGCAGTTTTTGAACATGGCCTCAGTGTTCATGAGGATCTTCAACCTCATCTCAATGATGTTGCTGATCGGCCACTGGAGCGGGTGCCTCCAGTTCCTGGTGCCCATGCTGCAAGGCTTCCCTCCGAAGTCGTGGGTCGCTATCAACGAACTTGAGGTGAAAATCTTTGTCTTCTGAACCCAACTTGTCGTACATTTGCTCTCATCTGAACCCAACTTGTCGTACATTTGCTCTCATCGGAACCCAACTTGTCGTACATTTGCTCCTCGACTGCAAAGTGGCTTCAGCCACTGTATTAAATGGTTATTCATATCTGCCAGGATAAGGGTTATATTCTGTTTTATTTTAGTGTTTATATTAGAATGTTATTGCTATTGTTGACTTGTACAAGACACTTTTTAGACTTGTTACTTTTTTGTTATGTTTTAATGCATAGGCGCGAACAATGAATCCTACTAATGAAATTACTTCTGAAATTCAAAGATAATTAATTCAGCTAATTAATTGAGATAATTATTGAGCTACTCAATTTACCTCATGTCTATGACAGCATATGCTCCTATACTCCTCGCTCAGTGGTCATTGAAAATATTGTTCAATAACTATGTCTTTTTCAACCCCATTCACATGAAGCTGACATTTCAGAACGCCTACTGGCTGGAGCAATATTCGTGGGCGTTCTTCAAAGCTATGTCCCACATGTTATGTATTGGTTATGGTCGCTTTCCACCGCATAATTTGACGGACCTCTGGCTAACGATGATATCCATGGTATCGGGAGCCACCTGCTACGCCATGTTCATTGGTCATGCGACCAACCTAATTCAGTCCCTGGACTCGTCCCGTCGCCAGTACCGAGAAAGGGTATGAAAATTCTAGATAAACCTACAGATAAATACGATAAAATTAAACAATAAACTCTTTTTCGTTGCAGGAAACGTTCTGGTTAGAACAGTACTCATGGTCCCTGTTCAAAGCTATGTCGCACATGCTCTGTATCGGATACGGACGCTTTCCGCCACAGGATTTAACGGATATGTGGTTAACAATGTTATCAATGATGTGCGGTGCCTGTTGTTACTCTTTGTTCCTGGGCCATGCAACCAACCTCATTCACAGTCTTGATTCCTCCAGGAGACAATACAGAGAGAAGGTGCGTACCAATGAACCTGCTACCAGGCCTAAACTAACCTCAGTTCTATATTGTTGTCGTACCGCCCGCATGATCAATTAATTATACGAGCATCCCTACCAGCCATGCACGTGCCTTGCACGAGTCGATCGCTTCTCAATTATTGCGCAAAAGTTCAGTAGAGAAAGAAGCTTTGCTTCCGCATCCTCTTAACGAATCCTAATTTTGTTCATAGCTCAACCTCTAGCTACGCTGTGCAATTATTACCACTCGTCAACTTGAGGCTTGACATCGACGCATCGTGCATGTGAGTACCTTATTAGTTTCGCTTACAGATCTTAGCTGGCATCAAAGACTCATAAGTGCGAGGTTTGAGTCTACAAATATTATTTATGATGAAATTGTTAATCTATTCATACACTTTAATTTTGGTTTTAATTTTATTTCTTATTCACATAGAGTACGGCTCGGTTACTATTGCTTGTTCTTGACATCAATCTTTTTTTGCGTTATACTTTCTTATATTCGCCCTCGATAGAATGGCTCGAAGCTCTCATTAATAAGCTCTTTCTCTTACCGTTCAGTAGCGCATTTGAGGATGCATGCAGCGCATCCTGTCGGTATTTGATTCACTAGCAAAATCCGAAACGCACGATTGGGTGTACGACCCATACAAAATAAATCACTTAGATTTATTCAAAATTCAAATTAAGATTCCCTGTCTGCCTGGTAGCAGGTTCCTATAGGAATCCTGTCTCATGGGCCATTCTTTGGCCGTGGATAACCGCAACGCTCCAACATGGGTAATTACTATAAAGGTGAGTCTGGTACAAGTAGTGACTGCCTAAATTGTGATTTACGAACTTTGTGTCGTTAAAGCAATTTTTCTAAGAAGAACCGAGCTGACGCTGCGCAAGGCTCAGACACAAAAGACTCGCTCTAAGGACTCAAAAAGCTCATTTGCTATGAGTTATTTCAAGAAAAACAAACTATATTAACACGGCGTATATTGTGACACATTTCATTGTGTCAACAGATATATTAGCACGGTGTATATTGTGACACATTTCATTGTGTAGTTACATATTGATCTTGTGACTGTTTCTGAACCTTGCGTGGTTCAGACAAGGTTTGGTGCGAGGAAATGAGTTCATTGAGGTATGTTTTATCCAAAAACATCCATCCGTGCTGCAGCTTGAGTCGTTTAAAATGTAATCTCTAGCTCCAAAGTCAACAACCCTGTTGCTTCTAGAGACAGCCCTAGACCACTAAATTAGAGAACTATAAAAGCTCTCCTTAATGCATCTTGTTCGGTCATCACAAAATCCGCCTCCGTAGGCTCTGGCAGATTCCTTTGTGTGTGTTTGTCATCATCGTTCTTTTTCTTCCTTGTCGAGCTTTTGCTGGTAAATGCATCCTTTGTTCTCAAGAAACATAGAAGTAATTAATCTTTGAACTTCTATCTGAATAACGAAATAAACCAAACTTAATGTCGGTACAAATCACTGATGACTTTTATTGCATACCACTTACCGCTTATACTCGCCGGCTGTGTCAGGAAGAAGTGATGGAAATTAAATTCTTTGAATAACCAACGATAGTGCAGTATGAGTGTTCGATTTAATTTCTTGATAGCACTATCCAACTAAGCACTTGAATTAGTTGAATAATTAAGAATATAAACTAGTGATACATGCAGACGGGTTTTTTTGTGCGCGTCATCGGTATAAATAACTCATGTTAGGCTTCAAGAATCCCTCTTAATTACTTAACTTTTGCATAGTCCAACGATGGGAACTCTTGTTGCTAGGATATAGGTGCTTATTGTTTCAAAGACGGGTTATACATCTGCTGACATTAAACTGCCCTTTTTGTGATTGACGGCGACTCTCTTTTTCAAGCCTTCTTACGATTCAGAGTACGATTAATATTGACTTTGCTTAGTATATCCGTCAACACGTGGTCAAGCACTTACGCTCTTCCTACGCAACTTGGCAACAAAATTTATGACCTCGGTGACAGGCTGCCAACGGTATATCATAGCAATGATTGAATAGATCAGTCCACCGACATACACAGTATAAACATGATAATTACGCGAAAAATACATTATTCATTTCAAATTCGCATTCTAATTCATTGCCTAAGATTAGATGAAAATCTGACGACGTTTACAAAAATTTCATGATTTCTAACAACTCAAAGCAGACCCTGAAGGAGATCAATATAAGCTATTTGCTACTTAGAAACATCTACTTTGATGATCGTCATTAGAATAGTTTCATTTCATGTATAACAATCTTATGTAAGAAATATTTCTGTAACTCGTTAAGCATTCTAACATTTTGACACACCTTCTCGAACTTCAAATAGCGATTCCCATCAGATGCTCAGCCCTGAAAATTTTGCAATTACTCAGCGCTTTTAAAATGAACGACGTACAGTAACTGTGTTTATAAAAGCTTGTCATTTTGAATATAACTATCCTAAATTTGCTTTCAAATTGATAAATGCAAACTCAATGCACTGTAACTTTCAAAAAATTAATGTGCTAACTCGCTCGATAAAATGTCATATTAAACAAAAAAGTATCTCAAACATAATAACAAAATAATATAGTAATATATTTTCCAGCTCATTTTTACAATGATTTTGTAATAATTCGAGAAGAAAGCCATTTTATTGAAATTAGCAAAACGCTTATATTAGTTAACCTTCTGTTATCTCAACATAGTACTAATGACGTCTTCATAAACTTCTAGGTCGAGAATCACTAATTATCGTAATTAAGTATTTATTAGGTTTCAAGTAGATCTAGTCCCTGACTGTTTGCCTAGTAAAGTTGAGTTAAAGGCAGTCTAGGCAGTAAATGAAGCTCTACATCGTTGATACCAAAGCTCCACTGCAAGCCGTCGCCAATAATGCTGCTGTAATCTAACATTCAAATAAAGGTTTTCAATCTCATCTAATTCACTGATTAACTCTTATTTAATTCGCTCGAGTTTGTATGTGAGGCTATAACAAGACCAGAGCACATGAGTTTCTTCCAGCTAGCGTTCTGGAAGAAACGCGACTCATATTGTAACTAACCAGCAATGTCAGCTACTCATCGACGACGATATTCAATGGAGGTTGTGGTTGATCAATAATGTCATGACTTCGCTTATGAGAGTACATCCTTTACCAATATCCTTTAGGTGACGCTATACCTTTAGGTTCCTAGCAAATTTATCCCTTAGTTAAGGCCACTGCTGAAACATCTACATCTTACATCTATTTAATTACCAATAGAATGTAAATTATGAGTTTTTAAAGCTTCATGAATAAACTTGATTAATAACAAACTTGGTGTGCAGCTCTAAATGTTATTAGTGAGGCTGTGCTACCTAAAACACTCGGGCAAGTCCCTGCAAAATTTAACTCTTAACGCCGCTTTGTGTGCCATTAGAAATTATTTTTGTAGGCGATATGCATTTGGTGTCTTCTAATGCTGATTCGTTCCCCCGTGACCTATAATTCTATTTGGTATGATATAAAATTTTTTCAAAATCATATCATCGGAAGCGTTGGGAGAAACAATTAGGTTAGGGTCTATAAGTTCAACAAATTTTTCTTAAAAAATCTTGACCTCCGGCCTTTATATCACTGAATTCCTTTCTTGTTCCTAATTTTGGTCTAATGCTATGTTTCCGTCAAATTTTTCAATTTTTACTCGCATAATCTGATCAAATTACTTCTAACAAGCTTATTTGCTTTACCAACTGGATAATTTTTGATACCCAATGTGTCTCGGGTAGATTACCCAGCACATCAGCGGCTATAACACAGCTAAAATTTTAAACTAGGGACCATTTACCTGAATATCAAGCTGATTTGAACTATTGCAGTTAATATAACGAAATAACTTAATTTAAGCTATTTCAGATGATATAAAGAATAAATGTCACATATTTCTTCACCATGTGCGTTTGTGTTTGTCGGCAGCTGAAGCAAGTGGAGGAGTACATGGCGTATCGAAAGCTGCCTCGGGAGCTGCGCAGTCGCATCACCGAGTATTTCGAGCACCGATATCAGGGGAAGTTCTTCGACGAGGAGATGATACTCGGAGAACTGTCCGAGAAGCTCAGAGAAGTGAGTATTCTTTAGTATATTCTGCTTACTAGAACCCGGTGTAGGACGCGCTTGATCTGGAGTAGGATCTCTTGGTCATATCGGTATCTGTTTTTCCTGCAAAGCTAATGACTTCCAAGTGATCATCTGAATGTGGGGAATGACTTGTCGTGTTCCAATGTGTGTCGTGTCCGTGTCTTGATGTGTGCATTCTTACATTTATCAGTAGTTGCAATTTTTTAATAATTAGGTTTTTTCTCTGCTTAAGCAGATGATCCGCACTCGTTGTCTCATAATAATTTTCTTCTTTGTCTGGGACTTGAAATTGTTAAAGCAGAGCTCGAAATTCAAAATTTTTTGAGTGTAAAAAAAACTTTAGCATGAACTTAGGCGTGTAATGAAAATGATTTTTTTGTGATATCTTGTTACGAGCTCCCGCCAAGACTCACGGCTGCATGAAATAACATGCATGAGGCACCTGAGGAAGTTTTATTCTATCAAGATTGAACGAACAAGAACCAAGAAATGAACTCTTGAAAATTCATGTGAACAAATTAGTGGCTTATTTCTTATTCCTACAATAATCTCATTTCCTGAGCCTGAAAAACGTTTGGGACTCCGCTCATTTTTAGGTGTTCAAAATTTATTTACAAACTAATTTCCATGTATTTAAGTTGTAACAAATGCTAAATGGGGATATATTGACTGATCATTGAATTTTACGCTTAAATCCTGAATATCATTAATTTTTGAGGAGGTAAATGTTTTGAAATATTACAAAAGTGTCAATGACAGATGCTATAACATAATCAAATATAGAGCGTGCCTGAGCTGTTAATTACTTGGATCAAGAGGAGGGGCATTTGGATGAGACTTCTTCCTTTGAAAAAATTATCATCGATTAATATTATGCATAGAGATCGCCGGATATTTCGTTCACATGGATGGCTAAAAAATTTCTGACGCAGAAAAAAATTATAAGCCGGGTTAGCGAATGAGTTTTCGACCGCTGAAGACAATTTACGGGCACTTATAGTTACGGTACTAACATGCACTAGTTACGAAACCAACAAGCACCGGTTCGGATCGAAACCAACATGCACCAGTTACGAAACCAACATGCACCAGTTACGAAACCAACATGCACCAGTTACGAAACCAACACGCACCAGTTACGAAACCAACATGCACCAGTTACGAAACCAACATGCACCAGTTACGAAACCAACATGCACCAGTTACAAAACCAACATGCACCAGTTGCGAAACGACCCACTCAAGAAAAATTAATATGTTGAACTTCAAGTTTTCTCCAGTTAAATTACTCATGCACTCAATGTTCTCTGATGAATCAATCTACATATTAGGCCATCTTATATTGTCCCTCTCTTGCTCATCCAGCTGCTCAGGTGTATACACTCAGCAAATGAATGAGACATTGTCCTAACAGTGACACTTTTTGCGCTTACGTAGGTCATCTTGACCCACTTCGGCCTGACTTAAAGGGCGCTTGTGTAGGTCATCTTGACCCAGTTTGGTCTGACTAGAGGGCGTATCAGTGTTACGACCGCTCTCTGTTCATGTTTTTGGTTACAAAAGCGTGTCAATACTTGGACGATGAGTCTTTTATTTTTCTGAGAACAGCTTTGCAATGCTAGCAGCTCCGACGCTATTACATGGGACTGACGCTTCGAGGACATTCGATCGGTTTAGCAATAAATGGCGCTTATAGGACTAGTTTATTCAATTTTTTGGACCCACCCGAGGATGTCACCTAATTGAGAAGATGTCATTTATTGCGGATAAATTTCTTAAAATAAATATTTACACACAAATTGCCAAATGAAATGAATGATATAAGAAAAATCCTAATAATATCATTGCGGAAATAAAACCCTGAATTCACCTCCATGCTGGTAGCATTTGCGTAGCCGGAATGACTATCCCTAATCATCGGCTTATTGAATTTAAAATAATATTTTTGATGATTCTAACTCCAAACTTTGATCTAAGTGTTGATCGAGGCAAAAATATAATCGATGCTTATTCGGTATTTCATATGCGAAGGTTACGATACTGATTAGGATTTTTTATGGAACTTGGAGTAGCATTATGACTCAAAAACTTATAAATTTAAATATTCCGTATTCACACGAGTTAGACCACGTAATTTAACATTTCATAGACATTTTTACAATGCAAATACGAATTTGAGACAATCCATTATGAAAGATACGTCTGCTTACTGGTAATATCATCTGTAAAAATCTCTAGGCACTAGACGCTATCATATAGGCAATCAAAGCCTTTAAGTTTCGCGAACATTCATGCGATTTATTGTGTGAATTTGTTGTTAAAATGTTGACAAGCGAAAGATGCGCGTTTTCACTCCAAGATTTATCTTAATGCGAAAATGACTGATTCTTGTTTCTGAGGGTTCCAAATAAATGTCACGATGAATTTTATTGTGACCTATGATCATCTTTTATCATAAAATCTAATTTTTTTCATAAACTCGAACTAAATTACTGTTTTTTCTCAATTAGATTTAACCAGTAGAGCAAGAGTGGAAAAATTTAAATAAAAAATTTAAATAAAAATTTAATAAACTACATTCGACCAAGTGTTTCTGCAATACATTTTACTGAGCTGAATTGGAAATCTGTTATATTCTACCTGCTACAACCGAAAACCAAAACCAATTGTGCAGCGTAAAACTGGCAGAAATAGATAGCGTTAACCTTTTCAATGCATTAAAACTTGTTTGAATTTCATTAGATAAAAATATGTACGAGTGTAGAGCTAAAGAGGTGACACGATTATGATATCATGGTTCACAATACAACTTGGTTCCTCTTCAAAGAGAACGAAATATAGTAAGCTTAGCCAGTAAGCTTTTCCCGTGGGAAAGAACATTTCAACCGGCCGTATTACAAGCAATTTTTATTTCAAAGCATTGTATTCCGTTCGGAATAATAAGTTGATTAGAATAAAACAGCGAAATGGAAATTCGATATTATATTTCATCATCTGAGACAGTACAGCTAAGAGGATTGTTGCTGTTCACTCACATTTATAACATAAATTATTTTTCGGGTGGTCAAGAGATTTTGTTTTTGGTAGGACTCGCACAAAATGAAAGATGTGGTCTTCCCTCTAAACCAGCATCTCTTTTAATTTTTATTTTCATTCGTATAATTTCGTCTAGCACTTTCGTCTGCACGATTTTCGCTTTTGCCTGTCGCTGCCTCTCTCATTTTCTCTACGGGAGTCTTTCTCCGACTTTTATTATACTAGTCACAACAGAGCGCCGAGCTTTGAATGTCATTATTCGCTCACCTAAATGATATCAACTATTAACTACATGATTTATTCCAATAGATTATGCTTTTTTATTCTGTTAATGATTTCTGGTGACATGAGCTGTATTCCATTCAAGTGATTTCCTTTCAGATGCTTTTGTATTATTAAGAAGATATTTTCACATCATCGGTTTTTAGTACACATGAACTATATTTGCACGCGTAAGTGACCGCAAAAAATTATGATGCAGTCACCCATTCAATCACGTGTTAAAAAATCATAGTCATCATTCAAGTTATTCTCATTTCATGCTTACAATTTTTTCCTGTAATGTCATTTTCACAAACAATTGTCTGAATTTTACAGGTTACTCTAGAAATGAAACACGAAACACAATAGGCTAAAAGAAGTGATCGACCACTTTCAGTAAGAAGAATGATTGATAACAAGTATGAATACTAGAATTACTTTCATGACTTAAGTTTCAGTTAATCTTTGTCAATAGTGGAGTCCTACAGCGTACTCCTAGCAGTGAAGGAAGTCATTACCGTATTCCGTACGAATTTGCAGTTCTCAGCGATGTTACTTCAATAATTTCAAGGATGGGAAATGTGTTAGTGTGTAATTTCATTTGTTATTTTGTACCACAGGACGTAATCAATTTCAACTGCCGGTCACTAGTGGCATCCGTACCATTTTTTGCAAATGCAGATCATGGCTTCGTCTCAGAAGTGGTCACCAAACTTAAATACGAAGTCTTCCTGCCAGGTTGGTGGAAGTGCACAACCGTCTTTTCACCGCATCTCCTTTCATCATATCTTCTTGATTTCAGTCACTAAACGTTTACTCGAAGCCTTCTTGTGGGTTGGTTAGGTCTTTCCTCTTCAGCGCCTCTATTATTGCATATCACCTCACTGCTTTTAATTCGCGTTTAACGGTTAGGCCAACGGATATTCACAAACACAAACACTTAATTTATCAAAAAATTACCAAAACTTCAAACAAAATAATCAAAAGTATCGAATGTTTTGCCACAAACATGAATTTTGAGATAATTCCTTTCACATTCCAAACATTCCATTACACTTTCTGCCTCATGCACCATCGATAACTCATAACTTTTCCCCACAGCGTAGTCGCGCAGGTGGCCATGCAGGGAGAGCTCCAACCCGACAGCATTTATTATGTGTTATGATCGCACCTTCGCATAACTCATTATCACAATCATTAATAATACCAATACCCTTCCAATGATCTCTCAGGATGTGATAAACTTCAACTGCAGGGCACTTGTAGCGTCCGTGCCTTTTTTTGCCCATGCTGACGCGAGATTTGTCACGGACGTGGTCACCAAGCTGAGATATGAAGTTTACCAGCCAGGTAGAGTAGAAGTCTATACAGGAAGTCATGGACCGTGCAGATGTACCTGCAGCTGTAGCTACAAATTAGAAATGGACATTTGGATAACACGTAAAACTTCCTGTCATTCAGCCGCCCGAACCCTATAATTTCTAGTGATTGTTCTAGATGCCATGGTATATTGCTGAAACAAACGCTGCTGCGGTAGATTTGGATTTAACTGTGTTATATGATGTGTGTTCGATGTCAATATGAGGTTTGTGCTAATGAGTGGAGGCAGTGTTTCCCATGTTTGTTGCTAGGGTATATCATTGGAAAGTCCGTCCGTAGAGCTTTTTTTTATCATATAATGTGTGAAATTCCAATGTGTACCTATTCATTCAAGTTTTTGCTCAACATTTCACCGCTTCAGATTAATATCTAATGTTAAATATAGAGCAACTCTATTAAATATCACAAGTTAACATTTTTTATTACATTTAATTTATCATCATGTTTTCCCTTCTTATTAAAATATAGAAAGTTGAGCATTGATATCTCTCAACATCTTAATTTACTTCCCAGAGAGGCTATCGCTATGTGCATTGTGAGACTGTGCATATTTTAGTGCTATTCAACTAACAAGTTCAAACCTTTTCCATTAATTAACTGTACTAGACTCTTGGCGGCGTACAAAAATCGATCCTAAACATCGTTATCTTTACGCTACCATAATGAAGTATATAATGGATCCCTATGTCTAATTTTTTCCAATTCGTACTCAACCAGCTACACAACATTAGGGATCCATACTAAAGAAAAGATGTAGTTTATAATGAAATATTTCGGGTTTGAAGTTAATATCTTTTGAAGAAGAATGCGGAAAATATTTCATACACCAATTTGCCGAGAAAGATTTCCTTACCATTCTAAAGCTCAAATCGTTCTCAGAATCATGATCGACCTGTCGTTAGAGCTACATCCCATTCAAGGACAAAATTTTTTGCATCATACATTCAATGATAGATCCCTAATTAATGTTTTTACTCAGCCCTTGCTGTCGTATTTTTCTTGCACCCTAATTATGAGTCTAGTAAAGTTGTTCAACCTTCGCCCGCTCTTTCTAAGTGGCGCTAGTATCGGTGTCTCCTATGAGTAGCAACTAGTGAACTGTTACGTGTAGCTCAAAATTTGTAGCTAAAAGTGAATCTCTTCGTTTTTTTAAATTTCTTCTATATTGCGTAGCCTAGGTGAGTGTTATTCATATTTTTTGTTAAGACTATGATAGAATGTCACGAGACAGGTACGGATAAATAATCTAATTCAATAATTGAATATCAATAAATCCATTCAATAAATTTTTGTTGAAATAAAATCTCTATTACTATACTTCTACTTAAGTTTCAATTTCAATACTGCATGCAAATAAGAATTTCTTGATCTGAACGCAGCATGATATTTATTTCTCTGCATTTAATTATCTTTTACTGTGAATAATCTTGCGACCTCGATTATGACTTCTTGCCTAGAATTTCAAACATCATATAATCATTAACTTTTATTAACTTCTCTGTAGTAACTTTTGTCTCTCAATTTCTGGCGCTGAACTCATTCATCTGCATGAAATGTATGAATATTGCCCTGCAGAACTGTCAATCATGTTACGTTCATATATTCAGACCCATAATTGCCCATGAGAGTTAACAAACTCATTAAAGATGGGCAATTTCCAGATAATTTCTCGAGAGAATCGTGAGAGACTCACTCCGGATATTTTTTATCATTGTCTTGTTGGCAGAACAATATTCTAGGGAACCAATGATTGTTCTTTCCTCAGGCGACATCATCATTAAGGAGGGAACTATTGGCCACAAGATGTTTTTCATTCAAGAAGGCATTGTTGATATAGTCATGTCAAATGGTGAAGTGGCAACTTCCCTCAGCGATGGTTCGTATTTCGGCGAGATTTGTCTCCTTACGAACGCTCGACGAACGGCCTCTGTTCGAGCTGAAACTTACTGCAATCTCTTCAGCCTGAGCGTTGAGCACTTCAACAGTGTTCTCGACTCGTATCCTCTCATGAGACAAACCATGGAGAGCGTGGCTGCCGAGAGGTATGTTTATTATTAATTCTTCACCATGTGAGTACAACATTCCAAGCAAGCATTGTCTGTAAAGGTTTTCCTTCAATGCTACAACAGATTTACGTTGAATATTTAAAAGTTATGTCCAAATTCAGTTTAAAATAGCTAGGCGCTATCTAATATGGTTAGGTAATTTTTGCGTTAATTCCTGCAGATTGAACAAAATTGGTAAGAACCCGTCAATCGTGAGCAACCGCGACGAGATGACGAATGACGGCAAGACCGTGAATGCCATCGTGACTGCCCTCGCGTCAGTGGCGGCCACCGAACAGTGCGAAGACAACAGCAGTTCCGACGAGTCCGTCAACCACCAGAGGCATCAAAATATGCTGGATCTTGGCTCAATAGGAAAGGCGTTGGCGAAGGGTCACTTACCAAGACCAAGGAGTGACAACAACTTTGCCCTCACTTTCGCCCAAGATTGCCCTCCCTTAAATAGGAATCGTCCTTCTTTCCACAAATCCGACACGTTCAATAAAAACCCTTCATTTCAATAGCAGGTGGCTCCCGCCCATGCCCTGCTCTTGCTCGGGGCTACGGCGGATTTGTTTTGTTCTCTAGTCAAGCCTGAAGTCGAAAATACTGATGAGCTTCCAGGTTCTGATACGGCTTTAGAAATAATTGATGGTAATGTACCTGAAGTTAAAATTTCTCCAAGCGCCCAGGAGCACTTGAAGACGGCGTCCATATGTGACTTCTCTTCCAACCAAAAGCCATCGTCTCACGATTCTCTTTATCAACGAAGAGTCAGTCGTTCGGGCTCACAGACCAAACGCAAAATATCTCCCAGCGACGCGCTGCCACTAAAGAAAATGTCTGTCAGCGAACCTCGTTTCCAAAGACGCATTTCACTGAGCGAGATGCCCCACGGCCAAGTTATGGCTTCCAGGAGCGCCTCTGTCCGACAAGACTCGGATTCGAACAGTCAAAACGGCAAAGGTTTTCAAAGCAGATTAATGACTTCGGTGGCGAAGCGTCCTAGCTATCCATTTCGTAGTCTGTCCACTGAAATTCCGTCTTCATCTTTTTCAACTAACCTTAAACCGAGTGAGCCTATGATTCTCCCCCATTCATCTAAAGAGCCCTCTTCTACTTCTAGTCAGCCAGACGTGAAAATATCTTTCAGTGACATCTCTCCTGTGTCTTACCACGTTAGAAACTTCGATAGAGACTCTTAGTTAGCAAGACTTAAGCAGAGAACAATAATTGTTTGTAAATAAGAGTTTCGCAGCGAGTAGAAATCTCCAGCACTACGTAGATTGCTCCTTTGATTAAGTAGAAACGCCTGAAGGTCGAAATTGGACCTGAGGATACATATTCCGATCTATTATCTCGCGACAAGCTCTCGAAATCTTCAACCATTAGCAAGCCGCACCAATTGAAACCAAGTGGATCGAGCTTTTGGAATAGTATCGGCAGCATGGCAATAATTGTATAGAATCCAGAAGTAACACAAGTTATTATCTAATGGTTTTATGAAATTTCACGAAATTTTATGGATAAGAAAACTCACATTCTTCTGCAAACACATGTACATACTAAACTGTACTGAGAGCGTGGCCTATAACTTTTGTATGAGTGTTCCCAGAAGAGTTGATTGCGTGTTGTAACTTTTATAAAGACTTCTCTACGACTAGGCGATGTTAATCTTTACTGAACTATCAACTGTGATTATTGTTGGGGCCCGATTTAAATGCTTCGTGTATCAGAATTAGGGTATTAACTTGCTACCAACGACTCCATCGATGGGAAAATTATACTCCGAGAATACGATTATTTCTGAATATTCGTGACATGTGTTGTAATAATTATAGTAGGTCTCACGCTTCGAATGTCCGTCCGACATGGGAGTCCAAAAAGAAAGGAAATAGACGGATGATTTGCGCTCGAAAATGAGTTACGCATCCAACATTATTTTCGTCTTATGTGGACGAAATTTACCGGGAAGTATCGTACGCTTTTTTTTACATTGACATTAATTGTGTTGCATCCAAGTAAGCAACTCCGACACACAATATCTTTCCTTTTTACCGACTTGACTGACACTGAATTTTATAAGAAAATTACATGCATTTATTCACTCCATACCTGATCCATGTGCGTGCCTCATTCATAATCTGTGTACAGCCATTGACCTATGAAAGTACTTTTTTTGTTATTAATATAAGTTGATCCATTGCTGAACAGATAAAAGGATAATTGCTGAACCATTCGTGCACACGAGTTTAACTAGTCATTAATATCTATCATAAATATGCGAGTTATTTACTGATGATTGTTCGACCATGTGACAACTTCATTACGTTCAATCTGAACGTAGCCAGCGAGGTTTAGCGCACCGTATGGACTAGTTGTATTTATATTTAGTGTTAACAGTTCAATCGCTGGGCAAGGAAGTCGTTTTTAAATCTGAAAATTTTTATTCTAATCTTATGTAGTATTTTTCATATGGTCGGAATGGATTGGCATCCTTCGAATACTTTTCATTTATAATGTGTCTTGAGAATATTACAATGAATACTATCTTCATAATATTTAACTGTGAATATATCTTAGAGGTTGTTATGGTTCAAACTCGTTTTAAGTCATCTTCCAGATAGGTACAAAATACATTAGGAACAAAAAATTTCACTTCATCTTGACATTGAAATTTGCTTCATGATATTTGTGTATGATGAATTATCAGTGTATAATCATGACATGGAAACGCTCATCTTGAGGTTCACCGCATAATCTACGGGATGGTCTTAACGAGGAGGTTTGGATACAAAAACTTTTATTTATTATCGACCAAAGGAAGTTGAAAAAAATCAATATATTAATGTATTAATAATTTTTAAATTTAAATTTTAGAGAATTCCACTGGCTCCCTGCAGTGGAAATTGATTCGTATTTTTTAACACAAGAATATAGTGCATTGAAATTTGATGATAACTGTATAGTCAAGGTTCACGGACCACAGCTTAGCATCAATATCCAGTGACAGGCCGTTGATATAATACCTTTATTATTATTGTTCTAATCTGTCCACCTGCGATAACTTGACACCTCCTATAGCTGTGACATCACTGCGTGTGATGCACAGTGACTCCACTCACCGTCTAGCTTTCTGAAATGTACAAGGACTGACTGCCCCACCGACGCTTCCTCTGCCTCACTAGGCTTCTTGCTCAGCTGATATTTCTACGAATACTCCACCCGCGCAATAATCGATGTCCATGTGTGGTAGGACTCTGGCCGTGGTCATCATCTGTACTCGTGATACATACTGTCACTCGTGATACATACTGTCACTCGTGATGCATTCAGTCACTCGTGATACATTGCATACTGTCGCTCGTGATACATACATCACTTGCGTTGCATACAGTCACTCGTGATACATACTGTAACTATTGATGAACCCTTGTATTGACTTTGGAACGATGCGAGGCTCTGAATTGAGCGATATGCAGACCTAAATATCACCCCGTGGTGTTGAAAGGATGTCGCACAGTTCATAACACCCGTAGTGCACAGAAGTCTTCACTTCATTGCATCGTTCCAGAATCAACGCACGTGTCGTAGCGTTCCTGTAATTAACAAAAACTTTATAAGCTTCCTTGCTGCGCTGCTTAGAATACAACAAATAATGTCTAGAGCTTCGTGCGGCTTGTTACGAACCAAAGCTTGTTGCTGGTGAGCGGGTTTGATAATCTTTATAAGTCTTGTTGACCTTTTATGCGTTGTAGTTGTAATAAACTCATCGAAAGTTGGACATGGCCTGTTCTGTGAGATATTTTATCTTGTTGAATTTTACAATGATTATGTAAAGAAATTTACTCGTAATTATTTCTGCAATAATTTGTTGGATGTTTATGCATAATATCCCAGTGCCTCATCACTGAAATACAGACGTATTTTTGTCGCCTTCAATGTTCATCTGGAGCGAGATGCTCACAAAATGATTTGACGCGTCACAAGTCCAAAAGTCAAGCTTTAAAGCATGCAAGGCAAATCGCGCACGTGAAAAATAACGAAAATAATACAACTTACGAACACCGGGAGAATTTCCGAAAAATGTGTCTCTTCTGCACTTCGTCCTCCGACAGCCCGTAGGACGCCCTTGATGCGAATCTCAGGACTAATGTTTGAAATGATCAATAATTTGAAGGAGTATTTTAACTTGCTATGAGTTTCCGAGATTGTTGGTATCTGTCTGAATCCTTACTATGCGTGATGTTCCCCACGTTGAAACATACCTGCAACAGCCAAGTTGAATGTAGCCTGAGATTGGGTTTCAGGTTTGCGTGCCCTAAAATTATTCGATCAACACCAGGTCATTGTTGGTTAAAATTTATGATTAATCTACTGCGTCGTACGAAATTTCTTTACATTACGCAGGGAGTTGAAGCTCCTTGAGTCGCATGGTTCATATGAATCGTGTCCGTGTGGTTCTAAACTTTATTATTTGTGAAAAATGTCTATTTCCGACCTTGAAGTCTACAATTATAGTCGCCTGCGAAATTGGCTATATAGAGCTTCTCTTAATTCCATTAGTTGTTGTTAAACTCCACTTAAAATCAAGCTTGACTATTTGACAGTATTTATGATACTTAACCACTGTGCAATCTGCTTGCAGTATTTTCTTCACACTTGGGAAAAAACTTTATGAAAAGCTTGCAGATAATAGCGATGGGGTTACAATTAAAATCGAGGGTCCGACGTCGAATAGACCACTTCAAAAATTTCTGTGAGGGGTTAGCAAAAATACATCGTTCAGTGACAGTAAAAAGAAATTTAGCTCCACGGTCGCTGAGAATTTCCGTCTTTCTTTTCCACTAGAGATTCTCTACTTTCATTGTCAGCATAAATGCCTATACTATTATACTTTTTAGCAGAGATTTCTTCACGTGTTTTGTCAACGGATATCTTCGTTCATTATCAACAGCGATAAATAGTAAAGTGATTCCACCATCGCCATTTTGAGAATCTTAGAGTTTGAATTCTCACGGACTTAATTGATAGTAAGGTTTATTATGAAATGTTGAATCAAATTACGAATTCAAATCGGTTAATAAATAGGAGGATTTCAATATGATGCCTCTCAGCAAGATCGTCACGTCGTTCATTGCAAGCCCTCGACTTTTGGCGTCTTCCATATGTGCAGCCATGAAGCGTTGTGGTCGTAACGTGCATTTATTGAGCACCCATTTGCAATAAGCTTCTCTCGTGATCAATAGGTTTGTTTACGTTGTTCAAGATAAGGGCATGAGGGTGGAAACCCAAAATAATTTATGCTATATTACGTTAATTAATTATAAGAAATTTTCTTGTCGCGTCTGCAATTGGCGAAATCTGTTGAAAACTTGACTGGGGATAGGCTGACGAATAAACGAAATTGCCGTTTTTATTATCTCGATACTGATTCTGAAAAGCCTTTTAATAAAAGTATCTTAGATTACCATTACCAAATCCTGCTTATTCAAATTCCATAAGCATCTACCAGCAGTACGTACAAACGATTTATTTTTCGTTTTTTTTTGCCGCATTTCGATTTATTTGTCATCCAGTCATTCGATTTCAAATGGGATGCGTTGTGAAAGCTGCTGCCAGGCTCACCAATATTTTCCATTTTCGAAATTTTTATAGTTACATTTCGAGTAGAAGTTTGATACTCTCAAGTAATGAGTGCAAATGCTGTAAACTCTCACGTGTGTTAAGCGGGGACAAGATTCTTGATCATAATTCCGTTAGTGTAAAATTTCAGAGTTGGCAGTGACGGGCTCGAATTGCAAGTTTATGACTGGTGAATTCAGTTGAGTTATAAATGATTCGCTTAAGAAATTACGATGTCGCTGAGTATCTTGTCCCATATGAACTTATTTTTATCTTTATTTTCTATAGAGAAACCATAATAGAAAATATATCTCTTGAAACTGCTAGAGCCGCAGAGCGTTTCATTTTCTCCTTTTGTTGGAACCAGCTAGGGGAATTTGTACTCAAGGCATCCCCTGTTAGTAGGATTATTTATCAAGTCGTTATCAAATGCACAGAGTTAAAAACGCTCAGTTCGCTTAGAAAGTTTTACTCGCTTCATCTACACAAGCGCCTCGCAAGCAGTCGTCTGCAGTGGCTTCCACTCCTCTTCGTCACTCATACGATCTTCAATTTATTACTAATGTACATAATTTTTGCTAACTCGTATTACTTTTGGTATTTATTGAAGGAAATGGATCAATAGCTATTCAAAGCCTTAATTTAATTATAATTTTATTACATAGAATTATTGTTTTTCCACTATATTGTGACATCAGTGAGTATTATCCGTACAATCCGTACAATTTAAATACGCAAATGGATTTCCTTAAGTTACCGGACATCGTTTCGTGTCATGACCTCAAGTAAATATGGAAGAAACAGCTGGCCTGTGCTAAGTCAAAAAGTTCAGTGTACGGAGTTGGAGACTAGGCCGTCGGGCGTTAAATTCCCATTTCCCAAGTCGATCTCACACTTTTTGCAGCGAGAGATTAGAGGTAAGTGGGTGTAGGCTAATCCTAGATAACGTCAGCAGGCAATTTCCCTATGTTTGCTTGTACCTTCAGACTGAACACGTACACAGAATCATCGAAACCAGTAGCTATCACTAACTCTTAAAGCAACACAACCTCTAATCAATATGTACAATTTTGCATAATTTATGCACTCAATTAGACTATTAGAGTTCAAAGCTTAAACTGATGACAAAACAATAGCAATCTATTTATTTGACGGTTGCTGCAACGTATAGTCCAAGCCAGTGGGATGTTGACGCACTGGAAATGTTGATGCTGCATGGATCTGGCAGCATCAAGTCTGGTGCATCGGCGCGTCTTGATACCCAAGCAATATTAATATATTGCTTTTATTCTTGGGGCCGTACTATGAGAATTATGAACGTAGCAGCCTATTTGCTTCTCGTCTGTGATTGATGGGCTTATCTTGAAGAGCCGTCAGAGATTGGCTAACATGGTTACGTACTCGTAAATAGATTTGATTATACGGGCCCTGAGTTACACATCACAAGACAACACTTGTTGGATATCAATTCCATTTATTATATTGCTCCTTATAAATTTTTAGCTTTTTTAGCGACCCGTAGACACGATACTAGCGCTACCCCAAGGTAGGATGCGATGGTCACTGAATTTAAATAGTGTTTATTTTGCTTATTTTCGCACCTTGCCCTTTAATGGAAGCCAGATGTGATGGAACCATGTTTCGGACGTCCAACCGTCGCCATTGAATTAAGAATTGAAATTGCGAATGTTGCTTTGAGTTTGCTAATAATTTCTGAAATTAATTATCCATTTACATCAACTTTTTCTGAGCATTTTCGAATTTTTAAGCGTTTGAAAATTAATGATTAAATGATCTTTTATAATCGTAATAATAATTCACATTATATATAATCATAATTTATAATTATATTATTACTGTCAAAATAATACTGCTTGGAAGCAATATGCATAATTCAAGGTAAAATACAATATTCTTGGAAAAAGGTTCCAGTGAATTGTATTACTGTTTACTTCAGTGCAACTTTATTTTCTCAAATTAATTTAAATGTTCTGGGTGGTGAGAAGACTACAAGAATTCCGAGCTGCTATTCACGTGCACAGTTCAATGCATTTATTTCTTCTAAATATTAACATCTGCTAGCGTTCATTCACAGCCCCAGGCTGGGGGACGGGGGTTTTGGGTATCGATAAGAAAAAAATATTTCGCCCATTTGTCCTGGCCTAACTATAGTTTAGCCAGTAAAATTGAAGAAAATAGCCAATAGGTATATTTTTAACGCATATTTTTTTGTTAATAAAATTTACGAAAAAAAATTACGTGACAAACCCTTTGCATGATTTGTCACGTAACAGCTGATGATGTCATCGCTATAGTGCACAAGCTGCCTAACAAGCAGTGTGCCAGCGAACCGCTGCCGACGTCGTTACGTAAGATGAATGTTGTTTGTAGCCCTAGAATCTTTTCTGGTCGAACTTTTCAACCGCTGCCTCACTGACGGTGTTGTTCCAGAGAATTCAAAATCAGCTTACATTACGCCTCTATTGAAAAAAAAACAGACCTTTACGCTTCTGATCCCAAATCATATTGATCTATTTCCCACATGCCGATTTTTGTCGAAACTCCTGGAACCCGTTTTGTCCCGACAGCTGAATAACCATCTTCCGTAGTTTGGTCTCATGCCTCGCCTCCAGTCTGCATACCGTCATCTTCACTAGACGGAAACCAATGTGTTGAAGGTGCTTTTATAGATATTCTGCGAACTGTAGACCGCGGCGACATAGCGGCACTAGCTATACTCGACCTGTCGGCAGCATTTGACGCGGTCGACCACGCCACATTATTGCGTCGACTTGACATCTCATTCGGCCTGCGCGAGAAAGTGCTACGGTGGTTGGAGGCACTTGGATCCCTATCTCAGCAGTAGATTCTTATGCACTCTTCTTTTACGCCATCGTTGGTTGCGTGCGGCGTTTCACAGGGGTCAGTCTTCATATCGATCCTCTTCCTTATCTCGCGTAATGTCTGCAGCGCGTGTCAGATCTGCCTTCTAGAAGACGACTGCGTTCGCCATCTACAGCGGACCTCGTCGTACCATCTTAACGTCTATTTAACGTCGGCGACAGAGCGTTTCCGGTCGTCGCCGCCGGAATCTGGAACAGTCTGCCTTCTTCTGTAACATCGGATTCTTCGTTGCCGGTATTTCGTCGACGCCTGAAGACGGAACTATTTCGTGGAGCTTACGAATCAAGTACTTGGTCATTTTTATCCGATCTCACCCTTACTCGTGTGTATTTCTTTTTTTGCTTGCTATTAAACTTACCCGTGACGTGCCCTCAAAGTTCGTTTGAACCAGACACCATGATAATTGCTCCGAAGAATACGCGGTTACGCATCTGCATTTTATGCATGTACTCGTATATATCGCATCCATCCGATGTTTTAGAACGGTATCGTATCATGAGTATTGAAAATTATATGATGAAATATGATTTGGCTTTGGAAATCTTAACTCCGTGAATTTACACTTTCTATATATTTAACAATTAAATCGCTTCAGGAATATCGAAAAATACAACCTCTGACCATTAATAGGTATTATGGACATTTCCCGCACATTTATTGTACGCTTCGAAGCACAACAAGACAAGTGACCCCTAAAACAACAGTAGATTTATATGCAAACATTCTTTTCGCATGTCTCAAATTGCGTTTTGAAGAATCTAATTTATATGAGGATTTATGAAAATATTTTAGCTGAACTCGACGCAGCTAGGGATATTGTAAGACGTCTCGTACCCGGCAGGCCAAGTGCTCCGCCTGCCAAGCCGAGAAAGCTTCCTACATTTTATTTGCAAATTCATAACAAATTCAATACTTAAATATGGTGGGTATATTAACTCTAACGAAGTTAAAGTTGAAGGCGAACAGGCAAAAACTTCGGCGAGGGATTGTTCTGTAATTTGATCTCCACTCTGTAGGTCTGACTCACGAAATTCCAAAGCAAGAATTTCAAGCTGAGGGGAACTTTGAATTAGAAATTTAGTGAGCGATTTCCCAAGGCCCCAAAGTTGTGTCGCGTCGGGTGACGTTACCTCAAGTCTACTCAAATGCGGAAAAGCATGCCCGATAAATGTGTCCTTGGTTGTTGATTGGAGTAAAGAAACGTCGTTTTTGAGGCCGCAGTTTGAAATGCTCAAGGTTTGCAGGCACCGACAAGCTGATGCAATCAACACAAAGTCGCGATGCCCCATCAAAATCTCCGTGAAGCTCAGCTCGATGAGGTGCATGCTGCTGCTGATGCTCAGGGCCTCCGTCAGTGGAGGGTCGTACGGTGTCTGATGGAATGGCCATGTTATGTACAAATAAAAACAAATACATTCCTTTATGACAAATAACGATCTTTCATTAGGACTTCCGGACTAATTAACGATCTTTCATTAGGACTTTCATTAGGACTAATGGACAAAGCCACGTAATGTGTACTTCGTGGAATGAAACTTGACAAATTCCATCTCTAAAAAAGGGTTTGAAATATTTTCCTGCAGGTTAATGTCTACATGAAGTTATGTAGGTATTAAAAGTCAGGAATTTATGACTAAACTGCCTCAATGTAATGTGTAACGACTGTTATTCCGCGTTGATTATAAATCTACGATACTAAGTCATTATTTATTATCTTGTGCATACTGTTAGTTAATGGTACCTGAATTATGCTGAGTGAGGTGAGGTGAAGTCTGTTGAGGATGAGATGGAGGCCGGGCGGCGCCACCACCGTGACGCGACTCAGGCGCGGGCAGGACTGCAGGGCGGCCTGCAGCTGCGGGACACTAGCGTACACCCTCTGCTCCCCGTAGCCCGGGAGCTGCGCGTGCAGCGACAGCGTCACCAGCTTCAGGCAGCGGAACACATTCGTGGCCACGTCATTGCTGTGTGGAGGTAGTTTGTGATCCGTGAGTGAATTGAGATTGAGGGTAGACGAAGAGTTGTAGCATGGAAATGAATTTGGGTTACAAGCCGGTTTGTCATTAGAATTAGCTATTATATCAGCATCAATATTAGAGACAGTCAGAGATCGGTGTGTTTTCAGAGGGGGGCGATGCGATAAAATCGATTTTGAATGATTTGAACGTAGATTATCTTGGGCAAGGTCCATTGTGGAGGATGCTTGCTGGGAATGACCCGAGAAGAGGCATTCATTCATTAAATGCGGGTTCAATTTGCTGTGTTTTTCTTCTTGAGTTTGTATCTGTTGGTGGATATCATAAAGTAAGTTAATCAGTTCTTTGTGATAAACAAATTCAAGATGGTTGAGACTCAAAATGAGAGACTTGAGCTCGGAAAATTCACTTTTTCTACCAAAGTTGAACAAGAACAAAGACTTGAGTTCATGGCAAGCCCTCAAGCAGAGCAAAGATACGGCATCCTCATCTTGATTGGGACTGTCAAAGGTGCGCGCTGGTCCTTCGTATCCCTGACCGAATGTGTTATTGCCACTGACATCAGCTATTGGAGTAATTTTTATATGAAATTTTTCAGCGTTGCAGCTTGTGTTCAAACTATCGGCCTTTATTTCTTGGGGTGTTGTGCACTGGGTCTGATTGTGGACTGTAGCGTCGTACGCTATCTTCAGATGAGTCAGTTTAGGGCAATGCATGCCGATGGTCCTCAAAGTCCAGTAGAAACTGGGCCGGTGTGATGCTCCTGTTAGGTGAAGACGTCGCAGATGGACGAGCTTGGTGAACTGTTCCATGGAGATTGACGTTCCAGGTGGAAGCTGCAAAAGATAACAAAAATTCTATGTTCATTTTGAACTAAAACCGGCAAGAATGAAGGCAATGTGTTATATCACGATAGATGGATTTATTATATCACGATTATATCATGAGAAACGTTCAAAAGGTGATTAGTGAATATTTAATTATTGGCTAGTAAATTAACTAGTAAATTGGGTAAGCGTTATTTGTGCTCAATCCGGTGGTTATTTTTTCGAAACAGTTAACTCTTTCTTCGTCACGGTCATCTCTCAAAAAAAGTATTTAGAGGCACCACGAATCAAATTCCATGTGCAGCGTGCCAAGTCAGGTTGACCTCAGCATGAGCGTTCAGGTGTGAAGCGGAATAATTCATCCTCTGATGGTCTGGATTATAAACTATTAATAAAATAAAGAACTTTGCGCCGCCTAGTGCTCATTCATAATTAAATTAAACTGTCATCTTCACACACATACAAGATTCTGCATGAACGGACATTTTTTTCGTTTCAAAATATTCGGATACAATCTTAGAATTGTACACATTTACTCCGGTTTGAACACGCAGAGTTGAATTAAAAATGTTGAACTCACGTCGCGCAGGAGAAGTTGTTGCAAGCCAGTGCAACAAAATTGGAGTCTCCGCAACACGAGTTGAGTTAGCTTAGCAGTCAACGGCTCCAGCCTCGATAAGTCGAATTCGCGGAGTTTTGCACAAAGAAAAATCTCGAGCACTCGTTGTCCATGATTACAGGGAGGTTTTGATCCCCTTGACGATTCTTCTTTCGAGTGAATGTCGGAGTATCCATTGTATATTGAACTTAAGACTTGGTAGAAGAGATCGCACCAAAGTTTACTCGGCAAAACAGACAAATAACACTTCAGGCATACGGAAACATCACGGACTTCATTACAACCGATTGATTGATTGGATACTTCGAATGCATTTTGAATGCATTTTTTGACAGGATACAAATTTAGTGTTTTATTTATGTAAAGTTCTGAATCATCGCTAGTAAGACGAAGCTTCTTGGTAGCTTGCTGCGTAAGGTGTTCACTTCTACTTCTTTTCCGCTTGCCAGTTAGGTGACTCGAAACCTCATATTGATGTATGCTCGAAATTTGCGTTTCTGATCGAATGCTGTAACAAATCAATAGCGAAAGTACCTCACGTGACAGCACAACAAGGGGTTTGATTCCTACCATTTTACATAAAAATGTATCGGCTTGGAAAACCACGAGAAACAGGAATAATATTTGCATTTGCACTGATGCTATGAATGTTTCCTAACAAAACTAATGGAAAATTAATCTCAAGGTAAATCAAGGACCAGAACTTATTTCAAATCAAGTGACGCGCCAAGTTGTAGGTCACATGATAGAGTTGAGATCGGGCCAACTTGACGACCGTTTCACTTGCAAAGTTAAACTGTAAAGAACTTATTAGCCTCCCATACTTAAGCCTCAAAATGCACTCACTAAAAACATCAAATTAGGCTAAAACCATTGTTAACACTTAACAGCACTACAGCAAAGAAGTTTAAATGCTAGATACTTTAAAAAGTTCGCAGACAGGTGTTGTGGCCACAGCTGGCCCCATATCTGAACTGCCGCGTGCCAAGAGTTGCTCACTTCATACGAACGCACGCATTGGAAAACCTTTTAGAAAACGTGGTGAAGCATCACAAAAAATGACCGTGATCTTGAATAGAGAAAACGGCATGTATAGAGTTAGCTTGAGGAAGAAAATTCTGCCATCCTAATGTTCGTATAAGACGGTTAATTTTTCGTGCGTGTCATAACACATTCAGTTCGTTTAGGTTAACTTAACTCAATTGACGTTCTCTGTCACGGAACCAACAACTTGTTTTTATTTTTCAATTTCTTCGTACTAGAAAAAAATTTGCCATATCAAAATTTTTCTAATTCATGTCTCTCTAATTCATTCTAAATGATTATAGAGAGTATTGTGATTTCATATCTTATGCCAGAGGATTATGGCAAATGAGATAGAGGAGGATGGCCATAGTCTCTGTGTCTACTCTGTATGAAGCAGGAGAAATAGAGATGTTGTGACTCGTGTTCATTCATTGAGTGTCATCATTAATTTTATTAAACCTTTTAAACTCGTTGATCATCAATCTTGGTAATCATATGTAACGTAATTACCTTGAACTCTCCTACTTATTTCTGATTTCATCACTTTCACTATTAAATAAATATTAAAATATTCAGTCAGTAAATTTTGTCGATTCTCAAGCACGAATAATATTCGTGTAATATCTGAATAATAAAAATGTAAGTAAATACCGAAAATACTTCCATGTTTGAATAGTGCCATCAAATATATTGAATTTTGTTAAAATGTCCCGTGGATAACATTAGGCAATCGCGCCATTTCTGTCTGCTGCCGTGGACTTAACATCTGCTGGGGTAAACTGTTGAATTTTTCACTAGAATTCAATTATTATGATGTAATATACTATTTCAGTGTAACTGTCATATCTAATTACTAATTGTGCGGCAGCCCAATTAGTAATTACTATACTATACTTTAAAACTATACCACTATACTTTAGTATAGTAGTAGTTAGTATAGTACTATATATATACTATAGTAGTAGTTAGTATAGTACTATACTTTAAAACTACAAAATGCATCACAAGAAATTCTTGACTTGACAAGTTAGACGCTTGAGGTCTTTCTCAGAGGCCTGTTCGTCTCTCCGAGACTATACTAACTTTTGTACTTTTAGCAAAATGCGGGGGCGGCTGGGTTGCAAAAAAAAAAGTTAGTGTCTAGTTCTGGCATAATGGATCATAGAGAGCAGGCAGATGAAGCCAATGTTTATCGAGGCGACTCTTGAAAGTATCCAAAGATGCTGCTTTGACGACATTCTCCGGCAAGCTGTTCCAGTTTGTGATAATACGTTGAAAGAAAAAAGTTACCTCTACTGTTCAAACTGAAGTGGCACTTTTGGAGTTTTAGAGAATTTCCTCGGAGGTCTCTTGCTGTAGCCATCGCAAAACTCGGGCGTGAGACGTCATAGTAGCCCTGCAGGTATTTATAAACCTCAATCATATCGCCCCTCAGCTGGCGGTATTCCAAGCATAGTAACTTCAGCGTATTGAGCCTATCTGAGTAGAGTTTGTCTTTTAATGATGCCATGAGTTTTGTTGCTCGCCTCTGGACGTTTTCTATATCACTACAGAGAGTCTTGTGTGCTGGTTGCCACACGCAGTGCCCGTACTCAAGAAGTAGGCGTACCAAGCTCTTAAACAGTTGAACGAATTGTCTTTTCGGTTAGGTGATCAAAAGTTCTGCGAATGATGCCGACGACTTAGTTTGCATTTGCTGTGCACTGAGCGACATGCTCCTTGAAGGAGAGCTTATTGTCTATTATCACTCCCAGATCCCTCTCCACCTCACCCTCTGCTAATTCCAGTCTCCCATCTTGTTCATTCATGTAGTAAGTGCCTTGTGACTTCTGCCAGCCTAGTTTGATCACACTACACTTCTCAGGATGAAATTTCAGTAGCCACCTATTTGACCATGCCTGCAGATGATCAAAGTCCCTTTGGAGGTTGTCAATGCCGTTTCGAGTCGTCTGCAAGAGTTTCGTGTCGTCTGCAAACATTCTTACGTTGCTATACGGACGCCATCTGGTAGATCGTTAATGAACATTACGAACAAAATTGGTCCCAATACAGACCCCTGGGGAATCCCGCTCCTTACATCGGCTTCCTGTGATTTCGCTCCATTTTTCCATTGATTCCTAATGCCGATACTTTCGCAAGCAATCTTCGATGAGGGACACTATCGAACGCCTTTTGGTAGTCCGTGTATATTGTCGGGGCCCATTCGATAAATAAATGATATATAAATAACGCCGTCAGTGGCCCCAGACATTCACTTATGATCGTGTCGTAATATCTATCGCCATTTAGAAGGAAGAATGAAAACTGAATCAATGAACAAAAATAATAATTTAAAACACTTATCGATGAATGCAAAAACAATAAATAAACAAAACATAACCATGCGGTTTTTTTTGGCCGACTAACTATTTTCAAAAATGATCGAAGCAAGTTCTTTTATCGGAGCCTTTCTGCACATACAAAAAACGAAAATACAAAATTAAACTATAATGAAATAAATAAACTAATAAACGCAGAAATATAGCACGGATAACATATAATACATGAATAAATATAACTACAAATATTCACTAAAAGATCAATAAAACTTGCTTAAACACCAGGGTCCGTATTATCACAACTTCGTAACTTTTTGTACTTCCGACAAAAAAGTTACGTGTTACGTAAGTACACCCTAATTTTGGCATTATCAAAACACTCGTAGGTAAGACTTAGCTAAAAGCGTACTATCAAAACCATCTGGCACACTGACCAATCAGAGGCTTTGGATTTGTTTACATTCTGTGAACTTCGATGGCGGATGGCGGGAATCGATGCCTTCGATGGTATCGACTATCGATTGCTGTCTGTCGGTATTGAGTCGATATTGCTCCTTGTTGGCCCAGAAAAAGCCGTTATTTTCTAAAATGAATGAAAAAATTTGTGAAAATTCTTGAAAAAATAAATTGATTTTTTTTCAATAGCACTGTTTAGCACGATCACATATTTTGATCGTGCAAATGTTGCACGATCAAGTAGTGGAACCATCGCAAGTAGAGCCATCATTCTATTCGTGCATAATCCGCGCTGTCGGATTATTGACAAAATTCTATCACAAGTCAAGGTGTTGCTACTTGCTAGTAAATCAATAGTTTCCTGTCGCTTCAGCAGACACTCTAAACTTGTGCGGAACTCCACTTACGACATTTCCGAGCAGGCGTACAGTTACGTTACGTATCTTCCCGCGCAAATGTTTTGAAAATACCACCTCTAGAGTTACGTCATCAAGTCAGCACTTACGCCACTCGCAAGTCGATTTTGCGTACTTACGAAGTTTTGATAATGCGGCCCCAGGGCACTATAAACACTGAAAATAAACACGACTAAAAGAGCCACGTACCTCTGTGGTGGAATCGCACGAACGAATGACAAGATATGGCAGATTCCTACGCAGGTCACGCCAGTGGTGACTAAAATCCTAAAAGAGAAATTACTAATCTAATATTTACAATAACATACGTCCCCTTACAATATTACATCCACTGTCCCGCCCTCATCAACAATGCTTGACCAAATGTCCATGACGTCTAGTAGTTGGGTTACGCAGCAACGTCTAGGTACAAAACCATGCTGATGTTCGCTAAGTAGGTTATTCTGCTCCAAGTGTTTCAGGACCTGCTCCCTAACCAGCCTCTCCATTACTTTGCACAGGATGCATGTTAAACTTACAGGGCGGTAGTTGTTTGCTGTTTTGAACACCGGAGTTACCGCTGCTTTCTTCCAAACTGCAGGAATCTGCCCTTTTTCTATCGAAAGTCGGAATAGGTATGGCACTGGTTCCGCTAGTTCATCTGCTGCAGTCGCTAGTACGATGGAAGGAATTCCATCTGGTCCTGATGCCTTGCCAACATGGAGTCCAGCAAACTGTTTTCTGACTTTATCCAAAGTAACTTCAAAGTTTAACAATTCTTTCTCAAACAAAGCCTCAGCTGGCTCTGGGATCGTGTCCCCAACTTCCTGTGTAAAAACGCTCTGAAAGAAATCGTTTAGTAGATTGGCTTTTTCCTGGTCATTTTCTGTTTTTCTACCGTCTTCCTGGATTAGGTCGGCTACTCCACTACGACTCTTGGTTTGGATTTTACGTACTGCCAGATCGCCTTTGTGTTGGTTATTGATTTCATCTGCGATTTTCTTTTCTAATTGCTTCTGTGCATTGCGACAGTCCTTTCTGGCCTTATTTCTTTCTTTTTTGTATGCTTGGCAATCTTGTCCGTCGCGGGTTTCTTGCCATCGCCTGAAGAGTTTGTGCTTCTTCCTTACTATTGTAAGAGTGTCTTTGTCCATCCAAGTTTTGCCTTTTCTGCCAGATGTGCGCGACACTGGAATTGATGCTTCAATTGCCTTAGTTATTTACTTCTTGATTTTGGTCCATGTTTCGTCTACATCCAAGCCAAGAAGGCTCTCATATCTTCTAAGGTATAATATATTTAAGTCTCCCATCGTTTGATCATGTTCACAAGCAAGATTGCACGTGTTCAGTTCAAGACTATAGAAATATGCCCAGTATTTTATTATTTGTTATAGGGCATAATATATTTAAGTCTCCTTTCGTTTGATCGTGTTCACAAGCAGAAATTGCATGTGTTCAGTTTAAGAGTATAGTAATATGCCCAGTAATATTTTATTCATTCTTGGGTATAATATATTTAAGTCTCCTATCATCTGGCCATGTTCACAAGCAAATATCGCTTGTGTTCAGTTTACTATTATAGTAACATGCTTAGTAACTATTTGTATACTCTAAGGTATAATATAGAGAGGTGGGCAGTAGCGCGCTACGTGTTGCGGCCGCTACTAGCGGCCGTTAGATTTTCAATAGCGGTCGGCGCTACATTTAAGGCAATGTAGCGGTAGCGCCCGCTACATATTTAAGT